GGTCTTCTCAACTGGATGACTCCAAAATACGTTGTCGAATCGAGAAAGAAGCACATTGCCATGACTGAGGCGAAATTAAAAGCACGGGTTGAAGCCAAGAATGCTGGCAAGGATTTCATGTAACTCTACCCAATCATACCCGATTTGTATCGGATCATCGATAGAGTGCTGACAACTACACACAACAGGTCTTATATCCTCGAGAATGATGAGAAGCTCAATCATCTCGAATTGGTCATGCTTTCATCCAACTTCATCGTGGCTGGCAGTGGCACATCTGCAGGCGGTATGTCTGGCTTGACATACTTGCTCCTGCGCAACCCAGATAAACTTGAGAAACTCAAACAAGAGATCCGTAGTCAGTTCAAACGGCGCAGTGATATGACAATGCAGGCTGTCACTAGCTGCAAATATCTGCGCGCTTGCCTTAACGAGGGAATGCGCCTCTATCCGCCTACTCCAGGATCGCTGCCGCGATTTGTTCCTGGAAAGGGTGAGATGATAGAGGGCAAATGGGTTCCAGGTGGCTATGCTGTAGGTGTCAACCAATTGGCGGCTGGGCACTCAGAGCACAACTTCAAATGCGCACGCGAATTTCACCCAGAGCGATGGCTTGATGAGCCAGACTCAGAGTTTCAGAATGACGACCGTTCTGCTGTTCAACCATTCTCTTATGGGCAAAGGGCCTGCATTGGACGATCGTAAGTATAACCAGAACAGAAGGTGAACCGGAAACATGTGCTGACTACTATGGCTACTGCAGTATGGCTTATGCTGAGATGTCACTCACTATGGCGGTATGTTCACTATGTTCCAAATACTTGTGTGAAGCAAGACTACTAATGACCACCTACAGAAGCTTGTTCGGTATTTTGACTGGGAGCTGCACGATCCCGAGAACGACTGGTGGAACAGTCAAGGAACTTATCTGGTGTGGGAAAAGTTACCTCTGCGTGTTAACCTGACACCTGTATCTGATTTTGATCAATAAAGGCGGCAAGAAGAAATTTGGAAGTAGTTTCTATCAAGAAAGGGTTGAGAGTTTATCAGTGTGAGAGAAAATCGGAGTAGATATCATCGTATTGTAATCAAAATGACTATAGTATCTTCCTCGGTGAGCAGAGTAACTACTACTAAATCCCCCACCTTTTCGCCTGTAAAGGCCTAGCGACCCAGATTTAACACGGGATCAAATACCTTTAGTGGTCACCAACCCCTTGTTTAGTGTTGCGCACGTGGACAAGACTTGTTCTCGAAACAGGCGTGGCCGATGGCCATATTTAAGCCCTTAAATTGCTCAACTGTTGGAAACCACCACTTACTCATAAAACACCACAACTAACGCATCTGAGATGCTGCAAAACTATCTGCTCCCAGGGATATGTATTTCTCTGCTACTATGCATCGTCAATGTCACTCTCATCAAGCCACTACGATATTCTATCAAAGCCCGTCGACTCGGTTGTGGTCCGGTCCCTTTCGAGCCGACACGATGGCCTCTCGGTATTGACTTGGTACGCCGCAGTTTGAGAGCTGACAAAGAGCAAAGGACACCTGACTTTGTGGCTGCGCGCTTTGAAAAAATGGGCCGTTATACTTGGGGACTATCTGTGCTCGGTACATCGAATTTCATTACTGCTGAGCCGCAGAATATGCAGGCAATGCTTGCAACACAGTTTGGAGATTTCATCATGGGCACGGCCAGGAGGACAAACCTAAAGACAGCACTTGGACGAAGCATCTTCGCCGTAGATGGTAAGGTTTGGCATCGGTCCCGCGAGGCTATGCGACCTATCTTCTCCAGAGAAAGTATTTCCAAGCTTGATCTACTCGAGGAACACGTCCAAACGATGTTTCGGATCATTGAGTCAATGGAACAGGAATCTAGGATTGACGACGATGGCCGAGCATGGTCGGCACCTGTGAGTCTGGCTGCCCTGTTACCGCGTCTCACCATGGACTCAGCAACCGAGCTGTTCCTTGGCCATAGTACACACTCTCTGAGATCGCTTCTCTCCATCCAACGCAAAGGACGCGAACAGATTCAGCACGAACAAGACGACTTTGGTCATGCCTTTGAGCGCATGCTGAGCATCTTGGGAACAAGAATGCGACTGCGAAGCCTCTATTGGTTATATGGAAACAAAGAATTGAAACAATGTATTCAGACACTCCACAAATTTGTCGACGACGCCATCGATACAGCTGATCAGTCCCGAGAGCAAGGATCTTCCAAGCTTCGCTACGACTTCTTAGAGTCACTGCGTGCCCGCTACTCTGACCGCGCCGAAGTACGTGAGCAAGTCCTGGGGCTCTTAGCCGCTGGCAGGGATACAACGGCATCCCTTACAGCTTGGGTCTTCTATTGTATCGTGCGAAATCCACGGATATACACCAAGCTACGCGAAACCATTCTCGAAACTTTTGGTCCTTACTCAAGTACAGTAGGGCAGAGTATCACATTTGAGAAACTCAAGGGATGCTCCTATCTTCAACACGTCTTGAACGAGGCGTTGCGCTTACATTCGGTTGTACCTTTCAACTCGCGTTGCGCCGTACGAGATACGACGCTTCCCACAGGCGGGGGTCCGGATGGAAATATGCCCATCTTCGTACCTAAGGGGACAGAAGTCAACTTCAGCACGCATGTACTTCATCGACGGAAAGATCTATGGGGTGTCGATGCAGACGAGTTTGTGCCTGAGCGGTGGGAAAAGAAGAGACCTGGAATGACTTGGCAGTACGTCCCTTTCAATGGCGGACCACGTATATGCATTGGGCAGCAGTTTGCACTTACAGAGGCTGGATATGTGATAGTACGAATGGTACAGAGATACGATGCCATCGAGGGATTGGACATTGATTTGGAAAGAGACTGGCACAACTTCACCATTGTGTGCAGTCCTGGAAGTCCAGTAGCTAGAGATGCAGCGGTCAGGTGCAGATTGAGAGTTGCTATAGATTAGTGGAAATTTTGAGTTTCTGGACAGAAATCATGAGTTGGCTACGTCAGATACTTCTTAATCTTAAGATCACTCGGCTACACTTTAATTCACCTTCTGCCCCTGTTTCCAAGAACAGTGAATCAACATCACCACGCAGCCTTTCCGAATGTACGAAAAAGAATTCTAATTAACAATTCTATCATCAAAATTTAAATGGCAACGTAGAGTATGGCAAAATCTACAAATGTGTGAAAATCAACATCAGTACACTTTACTGATAGCTTCACCAGCAGATGGAGTTCAATCTTTCAACTCGCTCACAATCCTGCTTGCACTGCAGTTTCGGCGAAGAACACAGCCTCATACCACTTTTGTAGATTTTCCTCTCCATTTGCCTATGATCGATACAAACGCCAAACCTCGAGTCATGGCCATGTCTAGAGACGACCGAGCCGAACGACCAAAGTCGGACCGAATGCGATTAGCGTGCTCATATGGAGAGTCGAAGCTCCGCAGTCCGGGCCCCTGGAAAGAATTTGCTTAATCTTCCATACAAGCACTCTCGCTTCAGCGAAGATCGTCACTGGGAATGCTTGTCTTGAATATGCACGCAAAGTAAAGTGCTAGGTTAGTTCCCCACGTGCTGCTCAACTTGCCTCCATTGGTTCGCAATACATGCGCAAATAAGCGTCTTTTTTGCACCTTTGTTGTCAGTATATGACCCTGAGTTTTGTGACGCGCGTGTTATACAACTAGATCAAGTGGATCAAACCTGACGTGCAGCATGCTGCATGTCGTACGATATCCTCTTCCTTAGTCAGTGTATAACGATAAATCGGTTGTTTTACTATCACGATTTGCGTTATGAAGCAGTGTGGTTGCGTAAAAGATCGGTGTGATAACCGATGGCTTTTTTCAATCTCGAGATCCCAATGCAAAAGTCAGTCGCTGACTACAAGTCAAGTTGATAAGAGAAGATGCTGATCTGTTTGCTTACCTAATACTTCTTATTGTAGCGGGACATGGCTGAATTATATGGGTTAGTGGTGGAACGGAGATGCTTTTCCGTTCTTACTGCAGATGTTCAGCAATATCCACTTGGTTGTAGCAAGAAGGTGTTAGGTATGTGACACCTTACACTTTATCACAACATGGCAAGCTGACATTGAATGCTTAACTTGATTCCCAGCATAACAACTTGAATGCAACAGGCAAGGATGATTTGTGGTGATTCTGACTCATCATACTCTTTCGATGGTTACTGACAAGTCGTATCGATAAATCGGATGTTTCCGTTATTGTCCGTTCTCTGGTGGTAGAAGCGGCGACACCCGGTCCTGCCAAGACCTTTTAGCGTCTAATACATGGATCAATTGCAGGTATCAAACGCAGCTAACAAGGTAAAAAGGGGACTTCGATCCGCGGAGAAGCATTGCCAAGGGGTTAGAGTATATCTGCAGGGCGTCTTCCCAAAATCCACTCGATTCATGTCCCCACACCCCGGAGCGGAGCTCTATTCCTTTTTTCTTTTAGTTAAGTATTGTCGTAATAGTTTCCTACCCGTTGAGGTATACGTAAAACTGTGACACGAGCATCGTCTCCACGGCTGGATCACCGTGCAACACGGAGCATGTTCGAATTAGTTGCTCGATCAAGTAAATAGCGATTTACGAGTCATCTGTCGCATGTTCGAAGTCACGGCCGAGTTTCCCGATAGATTGGCAGTGCCCTCACAACCCAACCCGAAGGGTAGTTGGCTGAGCACGATCAAGCCAAGATCCAGTTAGTGATGGCTCAGATGAACGGACGTGGCTATTCTTCGGCAAAATGAATTGACGAAGACTCGCTGCCAATCTTGCAAGCACGTGGTTTATGTTCTAGTAGATGGAATGTTCAGGGAGGACTACTCACAGGTTGCAGTGATAAGAGAATGAAACAAAAACGATTTGTCATCGTTATTAAGGTTGTTGAAAATGGCTTCCAGTCTTGCCTTGATTTCATTCAAGCCCTTTTGTCGAGATTTATTGCATGAACAAGATAATTAGTCCCTTAGCAATGTCGACACCAGTTTCCGATATCAATCGCCCTAAGCGAGAGTTGAAGGTGCTGTCATTGGGCATGACACGTACTGGTGAGTGCACTCAACTTTTGACTTCGAATACCATACTGCATAGGAAATACGTTGAACTGACCGATTTGGACTTGTAAAAACAGGTTCAGCCTCGATTACTCAAGCCCTTGAAATGCTAGGATACCAAGGCGTACACCATGGAATTCAGGCTCTCAGCTCGCCTCTCGAGTGGCAGCTTTTCAACAAGGCCTGCGACTCTTACTTTCCTACTCTCCCAACATACACAGGAGCGCCCTTTACACGCGCCGACTGGGACATTCTATTTGGACCCTACGAAGCAGTCACTGATATGGGCTCCTTCTTTGCTATGCAACTCATCGAGGCATACCCAGAAGCCAAGGTCATCCTGGTAGAGCGCGATATTGATTCATGGTATGACAGTATGGAAGAGGCTATCTTCAGCACCACATGGGGAATGCGTGCGGACCTTATCGTCAATATGCTGGGACCGCTGTATGGGCTGAATGGCGGCAAGACGATTCGCAAAATCATGTTGGGATTTTACGGCGTACGAAACGTTCATGAGATGCGCCGAGTAGCCAAGGACCGGTACAAGCAACACTATGCCGAGATTCGGGCTGCAGTGCCGAAAGAGCGATTGCTTGAGTTCCACTTGGAGGATGGCTGGGAGCCACTATGCGAGTTTCTGGACAAAGAGGTACCTAAGGTTCCATTTCCTACGAAGAACAAGAGAGCGGAGCATGTGGAGCGGGTGAGGCAAAAGCAGAATATGTTTTTCAAGCACGTTGCGATAAGGTTTGCCAAGAAAGTGGTACCTCGTAGTGTGGTTGTTGGGGTCATGGGTCTGCTAGTCTGGAAAAGCAGACCGCGTGCCCAATGGGTGGCAACATTGGAACTGTTCATAGAGACACTATCAAAACGATGGTGATTAATCTCGTTAGAAAAATCTGGATGGGGGAAAGATGTGTTTCGCAGGTGCAGATGTATCAATTGGCTGGTATCATCGGTTGCTGTACGGAAGAGTTGTAGGATGACTCTTTGGTGACTATCTCTCGAAAGTGGCTATTAAGACAATATTGGGTCGTGGATTTGTATTTTATGATTGTATTATATCTTAAAGTTTGTTCGTACAAATGGAAAATCGCTCTATTAACTTATCTCATACCTTTGTCTAAAGAGTGCAAGCTAGCGCTACCTGACGGTACCTTTTCAATTACATATCGGCTATTTTCTTCGATACTGAATATCATGAGAAATCAATTTTGTGACTCTGAATGGTAGTATTCGCTTTGGTAACTTTGACAAAGTAACATGAGATCAAGTCTGAAGAATACTTAATCGAGAGACTCCGAATCTCTTTTCTTCGAAAACTAAAAATAACCCCTAGATCTAGAAAACCATTTCACTGTTAAACCCAACTTTCCCTTAATTTTTCGCCTCCACAGAAAGTTTTCCTTCATATCCTGGTGCTCAGGAAGCTCTCCTGGGAATTAATTCGTTGCCAACTACTACAGAACTAGATTCGGAGCTAGCTATCCAGCTATTTACGTTAGGTAGCTTATCTAGGTTGATACATACAATTCTCATGGATATATGGAATATATGATAGTATTGGCCTTAATGAGGAACACTTCAACAACTACGTTAGATGATCGTTTGTAAATAAATAACCTTGCAATAATCTGATCAAAGAATCTTAATCCAATGTATACGCGGCATCTATCCAGCATCCGACCCCCTTCTCTGATTGTCATCAACACCCACTCATTCGAGGCTATACAAGACTCGCACTTGACACAATTCTAGCAATGAACGTAATTCTACCAGATGAAAGTATCTTATGCCCCTACATCCAGCCATCCAACCTATACCATGTCCTCCGAGACACCGTAACCAGCTTCGACGCTATCACACCATCCTACATCAAAACCCCGTCCATTAAACACAAGGTTACCACAACGCTGCTGTAGATTCTCATAACGCGCCCAGCACCCAACATCTATGCCTATAAAGCCATCGTTAGCATCGATGCTGAACTTACAAAGCGCAGTATATCAGATTCCCAAAGTCGCAATGATGCGTACAGACACATTAGTAATAAAGCCAATAATGCAAGGATGATCCAGAACGCTTCTACCGTAAGCAAGATCCTGAGGGCCAGACAGCGCTATGTACGCGTCTTTCATGTTTCAAATCCACTAGTTGGGCGACGCGGTTTCCTTCTCCTGATGAGAACTGCAATGTCACTCTTGAAAATCCGTATAGTCAACTATGAGAAGTTTGCTCTATAGTCACACTAACGCCTCGTTTGACACTAGACAGGTACGGATACCTTTTGGCTGACCACACTACAAGGTGCATTTAAAGGCGGACCTTGGTAGATGCGAAGACACACGTCCAAGATTTGGTAATAATCAACAAAGTGTACAAAATCAATTCTCGAAGCGATTATATACACCAGATATACAATCTACAACCTGTACCGAAACTTTCGATTGTGAAAATCCGTAGCATCCTCAATGACGCCCACATCACTGACAGTACCATGCTGGTCGTCTTGAGCTTCTTCACGATCACGCTGAGCATTTCGTCGGGCGAGCAAAACTCTAATGACAAAGGCCAGGAAGAACTGGGCGACTGAGCAAGCCAAGACTGTCCTGACGCCTGTTTCGTAGATGGGGGCTTCTTTGGCCAGGAAGGCTTGGGGTCCTGGGGGGTTTTGAGGTCAATCAAGGGGATGCAATAAGTTCGGGGCTTCATAAAAGTACTTACCGATGATGTTACCGATACAATATGCTAGAAAAACAAACGCTGTTCCAGTCGTCCGCTTCGTGTATCCGGCGACGTTGGATGCGGGGAATTGGAGTGCGATCACTAGTCCACCCACGTAGGAGCCAACCTGAGTTAACTCTTTAGCAAAACCCGGTCCAGCTACCCGCGGAATTGAGTGAATACATACCAAATAGTATCCCGCGAGACACCCTGCGAGATTCGTCCGCGGCAACTGCCAAATCAAAGTAGTCCCGATAATCGTAGGGCACAGGTAAAGCGCCATCATATACGTACGTGCATTCGGCAGACGAGACGCAAGAAACGGACCCGTAAATACCCAAAACACCTGTGCAAAGCCTTGCGGAATACCGTACAATGTAGTCCGAAGCGCATCGCCGCCCGCCACATCCTTGATGATCAACTTACCAAAGTTCGACATACCCCCATTAATAACCTCATTCAGCAGCACATAAACGAAAAGCAACCAAACCTGCGCATCCGTCAAAGCCTCGAGAATCTGGCGTGGCTTGATCGTGCGATTGTACACGCCGGTACGATTCTTCGCGGCCCGTGCAATCAGCAGCGCCTTCTCCTCTACCGAAAAGTTCTTCGCAGACATGATATTATCGGGGAGTTTGAAGAAGAGGAGTAAAGACCAGAGCACCGTCATACCGCCACAGATGAGGTATATGATTTTCCAGACGGTGAAGCTCTTGGCGTAGCCGACGCCGTAGAAGAGGATGCCGCCGATGGCGGCGCCCATGCCGTTGAAGCAGTAGAACATGCCTGCGCGCGCGGGTTGTTGGTCACCCATGTACCACATACCTACGATCTGTTTGCCAGAAAAACAACGCTCGCGGGTCAGTTTTCTTGTTCCGATTATGTAGATACTTGGGGTATGTTGAGGGGACTCACCATCATAAACGCCGGCGTAACAACCGACTCAAAGATCCCCAGCAAAAACCGCATAGCCGCAAACCCCGCAAAGTTGTTCGTCGCAGCGGTGACGAGCATGACGGACCCCCAGCAAAAGCAGTAGATGGAGACAACGCGGGCGGTGGGGAAGTGTTGGGCGAGATAGGCGGAGGGCCACTCAGCGACTAGGTAGGCAAAGTAAAATATGGAACCGAGCCACGAGTACTGTGCGCCGGTGATGCCGGTTGTTTCGAAGAGATCGAAGACGGCGGAGTAGCTGATGGCTTGCTTATCAATGAATTGGAGGAAGTAGGTACCGCATAGTAGCGGGAGTAAACGCAGATCGACTTTCCGGGATACACGCTTGTTGGCTGCTTTGTCATCGAGTAGCTTGGCTATGTATTCTGGTGTGATGTTGTGCTGTCGCAGGAATATATTTGCTTCATCGAGGTCTTCAACTTGGCCTTCTATTTCGCTTTCTTTCTTGTTCAGGGAGTCTCCGTCGAAAGCGTGGGGTTGTTGGAGCTCTATGTCTTTTGACATGGCTGATTTCTTGCCTTCTTCTTTGGGAAAGTCGGCGCCGGTCTTCATGATTGCGATCGGAAAGTTCCAGGTCGAAGATTAGTTTGCGAGCGTTGAGAGCCGGATGAAACGAGCTTGTGGTGGTGGGGATTCACTTATTGCATTTTGTCTTGGAGCACGCAAGACCGAATGGACCTTGGTACGGCTTGTTGTGCGATATCCCCGCAAAGATACCAGATGATAAAAGAGATATTGGATGGACCTTATCCATGGTCCCGGTTACATCGCAATCGCATGTCAACCGTAGTTCCTTCCTATCTCGTTATCGCAGGAATGTTGCACTCGGAACAAATGCAACATCCTTTCCAAAAACACTGTTGGAGAATGTGGGGTGCTGCAAGGTTGAGCCATGGGTAGCATATGCACTGCAGAGTCGTGTTGCTGCACCAAGATAGTAGACAGCTCACCTTCGGTTAAGATACGTAGCCCGATCATTTATTAAAGTCAAAAAACCTGTATGAACAGTTCGGATGGCGTTAGTGCGACTACGCAAGAAGATGATTTGAGCAAAACTTCCCATTCCTTGCAATTCGTAGCGGCTTGGCTACATTGTCCTATCAACGCTGGCCCACTCTCGAGGCAAACAACCGTATCATAGATGCCCAGTCCTCTATCGGAGGTGTTTCCCGGCGGTACATCAACTTCCGATAACACGTTTTGCCAAGACACTGGAATGGCGACGTACTTGCATCATTGTAATACAACATGATGAAACTCGAGGAACAAGATGACTCGATGAATACAGAATTAGAAATGAGAAAATATGATGAGAAAAGTGGTGGTATGGATGAATAGAGAAAACCGCTTCTATGCTTTCCCACCAAGCCCATCCCAGCAAGCAGTAGTAGCAAGCTCTAATACTACATCAAAGCATCTCTTACCCCTTCCTCCACCTCCCAAACCTACTGCTGCGACAACTCAACCTTCCCCCACCAAAACTCACTCTCCCTAACCGTATACTCATCCGGCACCATGCCTGCCAACTCCCCAACCTCACTTCCCCCTATCAACTCCGTATTCCCCTTCCCAAACATCATAACCCTCCCCTCACCCCTCTTATACGCCTCCCACTCAGGCCTATTCCCAAACGGTCCTTTAACCGCATTCGGACGCCCCGTACAAATGAAACTGGTGACATACGCATGCAAAATCCCAGATAGCTCGTCTTGAGACGCCAACTGCGAGCAGACGGCCGGGTCGCGCACTTCGTAGAACATGTTGTCAGCGTGACGAGCGCCGTCGATGACGTCGCGGCGCATGGCCCAGTGGTAGAGGTACACAGGTGCGTGTGGGGAGGCGAAGAAGGCAGTTTGGCGCACGGGAGCTACATATGCGTAGTCCGCGTAGGACGCTTCTATGCGCTTGTACATTGGTCCGACGCCCAGATCCAGTCGTGTTTCTTTGTAAGGGGAGGTAGGGTCGGAGGTCGGGTCCGGGTAGAGGTTGTTGATTGCTTCGATGTCGTCGCTGCTTAGCTGTGGGAGAAGCGTTTTCCAGAAGGCGAGGAATTCAGAAGGGGTGGACATGGACTTGTTGACGTAGAGGGAGCCTTCGTTGCCTTGGAAGCCCGTCATTATGGGGAGTTTGTGCCAGTGGCCGTCGCGCCAGGCGTCGATGGGGCGGCTGCGGATGATTTCGTGGTCGATTACGGGTTGGAATGCCCAACGTAAGCTGGGGTTGTACTTGGAGAATACTTTGGTTTGAGCTTTGGCGATGGTTGAGGTGGGGAGGTTGCGGAGGTAGGTGAAGATTTCGGACTCGGGTAATGATGGTGGACATTCGACTTCTTTCAAAAAGTCCTGGAATTGCATCTCGTGAATCTCCGCATCTGGGTTGCGGACGGCGCGGGATGTCGGTGCACCAGATTCAATAATGACTCGATGAAATTTTGGTGCTTTGCCCTCTTCGTAGTTCAGTAGATGGTGGCCAATCTGCGTAGCATGAGCAATTAAGCAGCTGAGAAGTAATTGAACATACCGAATGTGCACCAGCTGAAAGACCTATAAGAGTAACGCAGTTCTTGTCGCCCCCAAATGCTCCAATGTTCTCCTCAACCCAGTCGAACAAGCATATCTGATCTTTCAAGCCCAAATTGAGCACACCCTCTTTAGCACTAAGCTTCGATGGAAGGAAACCCAACGCCCCAATTCGATACCCAAACGAGATTGCAACAAATGGCTTCTCAGACCACCCAACCATTGACGCAGTATCATGCATAGCAGCATTCCCACGATTAAAAGCTCCTCCATGTAAATAAACCGCAACCGGTAGCCCGGTGCATTGTCCAGTTCCCGCTTGACGGAACACATTCGCAGTCAAACAATCTTCGCTTTCGTCTAATACTGGCCCTAGTTTGATGAATTGCTGTGCGGGAGCCCTGGGTCCAAATTTCGTTGCGTCTATAATGCCTTCGCCTTTTCCGACTTTTTCTGGTGGCCTAAACCGACGGTCGCCGGTCGGTGGTAAGGCATATGGAATGCCTCGGAATGCCTCGACTGCATGAGGGTATTTTCCGTGTAAGAGAGTGCCTACGACTGTTCCTTGTTGGAGCTGGATCTTAGGCGATGACATTGGAATGAGTGTATGAGATGTTTCTAGCCTCTGGGTACTACTGGGTTGTGCCTAATGGTCCAATGAATTGATATCGGTATATTTTCAAATTTGAAGGAACCTTGGTGTTTTTTTTTTCAAAATAGTTGTGTTGGTTTCTTGATCCGAGTACATCGGCAATGCCTGTTTGAGAACGGTGGTATAAAATGTGCCGACATCCCTGCCTGTCTCGGATCATGTTATCTGCTCTCAACTGATCAGCCCCGCCCTCGCCCCACCTTGCCTCTTCCTATCTCCTCAGTTCCCCGCTGCGATATGTGATGAGCTGCGGGCTGCACATATGCGCCAAAGTTTCCCAGTCGGAGCCGTACATCCAGCGGAGAACTCGGCCGAGATTTGCTTGCGATCAGCATACTATGAGGCATCTTGAAAAGGGTAGTAGCCGTATCACTTCTGTCACAGCATTCCTACTATGCAAGCCAATAATACAGTCATTGGGTCATACCTATAAATTGAAATAGAATACAGATATCCAGAATGAAATGCTACCTTGATATGAATAACTAGAAAAACAAGTAAGAAGTATTCAAGACCTAACCACGTTCCTTGCTCGCACAACACATCACCACCCTATCGTTACAACCTTGACTTATCATTACCATCAGTCCCCAAGGGATCCTCATCTTCATCTTTTTCTTCGCTCTCCTCAACTCTCCTTCGTTTCCTGGCACGGTTATCATGCACAGTCTTCACATGCTCCTTCATCTTATCCCTCCGCCCCTTGAAACTTCGCCCTTTCTTTCCATATGCGGGATGCCTTGAGCGATGGCACCCCTTTTCTGGGCAAAAGTATTCCGTCAGTTTTCTCGCGTGCATGTTGGTGTAGTGACGTTTGAAGTCGGCGTGACGATTGAATGTGAGGGTTTCATCATCACGACAGATTTTGCTTAGGCAGGTGAATCTTCCACCTAGAGTTACTTGGCCGATAACGGGGTCGCCTCCAGTAGCTTGGGAGGTGAGTGTATTTTGAACAGTTGTGGCAGCCGTCGGGGTAGCAGTGGACGAACTACATGGTGAATCGTTGTCCTGACTGGATGTGGGAATACTATTGTGATGCGAGGACGGGGGTGGTGGACTGATCATGTCAGTAGACTCAAGACAAGGGCGATATACCTAACCTACTTTGACTGCTCATAAGCTAGACTTTGGCCGAAAGCTCCTGTCGATTGAGATTGGCTCGATGGGAAAGGGTGAAGGTGATTTGGAAATCTATTGTTCTGATGTTAGAATGAGTTCGTCTGAGCGCTGGTCAGAAATTGAACAAAGACTCGGCATTTTTCAAAGTAGTTTTACGATTGAAAAAACGTTGATCTGAATAACCAATCGTGGTGACGATATACGGAGATATAGAGCGATATCATCCGAGGAGCAACTTAGATGTTGTCGGATTGGATGCTAAGTCGATAGTGAACGATATGAGATGAAAATTTTCGAACAGATGGTTTCCGTTCTGGAAAAATGTATTGATGACACCGGTATTGCAGAAGTGAGATATCATCTGCCCGGCGTGAAATTGGTTTCTGCTGGGGGATCTTGACGTCCTTATGGAGAGACTTAAGTGCATAGAGAGTAAACAGCAAAATAAACACACCAAGGAAATGACCAGCTAGCACTTGATCCCAATGGTAAACCCCTAATTCTCTTACGACAGTGCAGCTCGGTCGAGCATATGATGCTGAGAATCATAACAAGTGAAGAAATCTTACATTAATTAACGCCAGTTGACGACTTCGAAGATGGATCCAAGAAGCACGTCAAGTAATATCCAATGGAAGTTCAATAACCAGGAAAAAAGTCTGGGCCCGGGGAGATTTGGGATATATAGTCGTAGAGTCGAAAAAAAGGATGGATGTCCAATGGTAGTAGGATTGTGCTCCATTAACCAGGTGGTAAGACAATGAAAGTGCCAGTATGGGGAGATTGAATTCTGTACTCGTTGCCAGCAGCCAGTGGGTGGCTCTCCGCAGGAATAAAATCGCACACAAATTAGCTCCAAGCGTGTCCATGTTCGAAATTATCATATTCAGATCTATCAGAGTCTTTTGAGGTTAGGATGCCGACTTTTCCTGCCAGGGTCACTCGATAGACGGCCATACATAGGCTCGAAGATCCTTGAAATCTGCCAGTAGGAATATCTGGCCCGGTGCCGTGGTCTGATCCAAAGATGATTGGCTCACAAAGCAGTAATCCTGGTGGAATCCGTTGCATCCATGGAGAATTCCACGACAATATTATTAATACGCCTACGTCCGTCCAAGCGCATCCATTGGGACCAGGAGAAGTGCGGAATCCAAACGAATCCCAAGGTACGGTTCGTAGTTTGGCATATTTGATAAACAGTAGCTGGTGATCGTACGCAAGAGGATTGTGGATCATACTTACTCGGTGGTATGTGTTTTCCAATCCAAAGACTGATTTCTGCTTCCGTTTCCAATGCCCAAGTTATTATTCAAGTCCAACTGGTACTGGGCCGAGGGGCCAGCTGTGGTGTGTTGGTTTGGAACCTGTGGTGCGAAAGCGAATTGTCCACCAGTATGCCAGTTGGGTGACGTGAAATCTGACTGCACTGAAGGCTGCTGATTTACAGTCTCTGGGTTATCTGAAGTGCTCGAGTACGAACGTGTCATGTCTAAAGGCGATGCACCGTCGAAGGATCCGCGTAGCGCTTGGATCGTGTTGTAGCCATGTGCGTGCTGACCGGAAGACATGGTCGAGAACTGGGATGCCGACCGGCTCATGATATTGTTCACCGGAAACTGCGAGTAGTCGCTGGATGTAGATAGATTTCGGGTTGTGCGGGGACAAGGCTGCGATGCAGCCTGATGCAATAAACTTGGGGGCTCCAATGGAGCCGAAAACGAGTAGACCGACTGATTGTATCCTTGAAGCATTGGCGATGAAGTGGTTTGCTGAAAAACGATCCATTCAGAGTCAGACCCAGTTACACTGGGGCTGTTCAGATATCGAGGATTTTGACTATCTGAGGAGTGGTGCATCATGCTATTCCTATCGAAGTGTGGGGGGTTTGCCATTGGCAGGAGATGGGGATGATCAGAGGCCAAAGAGTTGTCCATGAAAGACTAGTATGTGTAAGAGCAGTTTTGTCAACGGCTAGTCGGGTTCAACGGCACAAAATGAAGCGACGAGGCAGAGCATATAATTGCGAGAAACCCGCAGGGCAATAATTGCCTCGTTGGTCCTCCACAAATGTCCTCTGCTTGGCTTGCATGTGCTATCGACTTTTAGGTGGCGGCGCACCGGAGACAACAAGGCAAATCAGGCAAACAGGGCTGACTGGCGCTTGTCCGGGTCAGTCGATAGCTGGAGTAGAAGATGAGCCGTTATGTCGACGAGTAGAATAGCGGCTGAGCAGCCGCATCTAGTAGCCAGCCACACGCAAGCCAACGACGTGCAATCTGACGCGGATTAAAAAAGGAACATGCATTGGACAAGAGAGGGTGGAGAAAATAGATGATAGGTCATCAGACTACGTATATGTAGGTAGCGAAAAGGGCAAGGGCGCTCAACCCCGCCATCTACCTACGTCTCCCGCTTCACTCTCCGTATTAGAGCGTCCTTCAAAAAGGCGGCTTGATCTGGCTAGAACACACATCTAGAACATGATCAATCACCAACCGGGTTTTTCTCAGATGCCTGGCCGGATTCCTGCCAGCATCTCTGGTTAAAGTGATGGCGTAACTACTTACGCCTTGACAGTCCATACTTTGACACTTGCATCTCCGCCGGCTGAGATGACCCTCGCTGCCTTTTCCCATGCCACACCGTTGACGCCATCCTTGTGGGCGTTGAGAGCCTTGATGCGCTTACCGGGATCCTCCGTACTCCAGACCATGACGTTAGTATCCAAACTGCCACTTGCCGCGTACTTTTCGCTCTCATCCCAAGCCAAACAGGTAATGCGTGCAGTGTGGGCACTCCATCTGTCCGTGATGAGGTTCCAGCCTGCACTTGCGTCGTACGCATATATCTTGCCGTTGGCTGCACCGACGGCAAGCTTGCTACCCGACTGCGAGAAGGCAAGCGCTGAGATGGGCGAAGTGGCGCGGCGCAACACCGTCTCGGTGTCCTTGAGCTCGGTGCCTGAAAGCGTGTAGATGTGCACAAGCTTGTCATCTCCACCCACGGCTACAGTAGTTCCATGTGCGGCGATGGATGTAGGCGTGTACTTGACTGCTAGTGAGCTGACTTGAGTGCCCTTGGAGTAGACGGCGATGGCATCGGATGAAGGGATGAGCACCGTGCTGGATGTAGCAGCGACGCCCTTGGGCTGGAACTTGAGGTCATGCGCTTCTCCAGTAAAGATCTTGTCCGGTGCCGAAATGGAGCGTAAGGTGTCGTCCCAGCCGACACTGTAGAGTTCCTTTCCGCTACTGCTGTCGGACGTGGTGATGCCAGCGACATAGCTGGTATGGGCTGCGCCTTCAACCTTGTCGGCCAGCCCTGTTGTCGTGTCCCATGCAAGGACGCGCCCCTCGTAGCTGCCGGTGGCGAAGGTCGAACCAGCTATGGCAGCTGATGTGATGTTCTTCTGGTGGCCCCGAATGACGCGAGTTGGTTTGGGGTTGCCATCGACGAGGTAGTTCAGGTTCCCATCCAGATCGACGCTCACAATCAGACCATCGCTGCGGCCCGTGGGCCAGACTACGCCGACCTGCTGGTCAGGCACACTGACGACGCCTTCGTCACCCATCCTCCACGTCTGGATTGCTTTGCCGGCTTCGGGATCCCAGATGCGTACAGTCTGGTCAGCACTAGCAGTGACGAACCTGTTTGAGTCCTTGGACCAGGAGATGCCAAAGATACTACCGGTATGGACTCCCTCACCGATCTGGTTCTTGGCCTCGCCAGTCTTGCCGTCGTATAGCCAGATGCGCTTGTCGGCACCCACACTGGCGAATACGGAGCCATCGGGCGAGAAGGCGGTGCCGAAAACGAAGCGGTTGTGTTGGCCGCGCAGGCTGGTGTTGAACTTGAAGGGGGCGCCGTGGTAGAAGACAAGGCTGGTGTCGTCGGAGCCGGTGGCTGCGCGTAGAGGGCGTTGCTGGCGAATGGAGACACAGTTGATTTGCGACGAGTGGCCCGAGATCTCGCCCACGCTGTTGCCGCTGTCTGCGGTGATGCAGTGGCCGAAGCGCTCCTTGCCGTCACCTACGGCAATGATGCGCTGCGAGTCGCCGTCCCAGGCCAGGTCGTTGATGCGGCCGGCGATGATGGGGTATTCGCCCTTTGTTGCACCCTCGCCGGCGCAGTCCCATACCCTGACCATGCCCGACACATCTCCGCTGGCGACATAGAAGCCCGAGGGCGAGAAGCGGGCGACGGTTGTCTGTGTTGTGTGTTGGGTGTACTGCTTGCTGACGGCGGGATCGTCAATGGAGCGCAGAAAGATGGATTTGCCAGACTGCAGACACTCAATTAGCTTCGCAGCGGATGGACGAGAGCAAGATCAAAACGTGCCGCATAGGCGATGCGCTCGCCCTTTGGATCGGATGAGAGGGGCGTGGCCTGTCCGCGCGTGGTTGTGGGTGAGGCAGCCCATATGGCGTCTGTGGTAGTGGTAGCTTAGTGTTAGTGGGTGTGTTGCACTGCATGTGAGTAAGTACTGCGTACCTGAGACGAGGGACATGGCGGGCGATGAGCTGCTACAGGCAATGCTGGCGATACAATGGCGAAGATGAAGACGACAGAAGACAGAGTTTCTCTCTCACAATGGACATGGGCACTACGACATTGCCAGCGGTGGCTTCTGCCTCGTCACCGCCAACGTACGTGCTTGGGTACGTTTCAAGCGTCGACCAGCCGCGAGTAGCGGGGCAGGTGGGGTGCAGCTGTCAACTCAGCCTCTGTGCTACTATACTACATCCACCCCTCACCCTCTTTTGTTAGCTTTGTATCACGAATGAGGTATACTTGGCGCTGAATTGGCCCATGTAGGGGATCCCCTCTATAGATGAAACAGATGGCTGTTTTCTAGCTACATGTCGAGACCTCTCTAGCTATATCAATTCGGAAACTATGTTTTATCACGTGATTACACTCAATTGAGCTGGGGTTTCTAGTAGCCCTTGTCAGTTACTCGGTCCTCACATGACCAGAACATGTTTACAAAACAGAACTCTACCTGAACAGCCTCACCGCTCTACGATCTGTTTCTAAAAGTAAAGAGAATGGCAATACCTTCAAAGGACCATGGTTGCCGATTAACGACAACAACTGTAGATTGCATGTTTACGTATATGGTGCTATCCACTCTGCAGAATGTACTTGGATAGACATTGTCAAAAAAACGCGTTCCTACCACGTACTCTAGGTGTAAGCATTGATATTTTGATCTAGCAAATTGTCTAATACATGAGCTAGCGAATCGCTAGAAAGGCCTAGTAGCAGCAATCCACCTTATACATAACAGGCTACATGGTCGTCTGTATCATTATTATCATCACCATGGTTGCGACGCGTCACAGGTCCAGAACGTAGATAGTCTCTCTCCCAGCTGCAGTCGTTGCTTATGTACATACTAGGCTAGAATGCCGGGTCATGCCATCGACGACGCGTCGGGTGACGTCGATGAGACACTCGTCAAGACAGCTTGCACACTGTTGTTGAAGCCAGAACCAGCATTATGCCAGGCACTCTGGCCAAATCTTCCACGTTCACCCATGCCATGTCCGCGTCCAAGTCTATCTGCACCGGGGAGAAGAGGCTGGTCAATTTGGCCAGACCGACAAAACTCAACAACCTTGGAATAGTTTCCCAGGCTGCGTCTCTTGGCGCACGTCATTCCACTGTGCGTTCTCGAGCACCATCATCCGCTTACTACCGTGTACATTTATATAGTATTACTACGTTACCCTGCTACTCGATTCCCCAAATCATACACGCCTCGTAAATCCGTCAATCGCTTCCCCAAGCGCACTCGTGTCACTCGCTCTTCAACATCACCAACGGACCGGCTAGCCCTGCAACAAGAAAGACACAATCACGACACAACAAACAATCAACTAAGCACAATGTGTATCATGAGGACTTATGAGACGCGTGGACGCACTGTCGTCGAGCCACCTCCACGACGCGGAAACTTCACCTCACACCCACCAGCTGGTGTTATGCGCTTGCCACGTGAATGGCGCCGTACAGAGAGCATCAGCGATGACGGTCGCTACGTTGAGTACAGGTAGGTATTTTAATTCCCTATCCGCTGCGGTGAATTACCTCGCCAGAATCTAACACTCTGATGCAGGAGATCACGATCACGACCTCGAGTCATCGAGTACTATGAGGAGCCACGCCGCAGCACCACTCGCCACAGGAGCGTGTCAAGGCGTCGCGTAACTGATGTTGAGCGCAGGACGCCCAGAACAAGCTACATAGACCCACGTGACAGCTATGTCGACGAACGCATTACCAGGAGAAGTGTGAGTCGGGTCAGGCACTGAGTGGTTTTTTATTTAATGAATACCATGAATCTCAAGAATGTAAGCCTCTTGCCCAAACATGCGTTGTGAATGCCATACAGGAGCTGACACGCGCCAGTAGAAAAGCGGCATGAACACTAGTTTTTCTCTCTACGTCCAGGATGCCTCTAAGATTTTTTTTTTCAGTTACGAACGTCACGATAGTCAGATAATGAGCATAAATACCTACACAGTATTCTTCCTAGTTTCCCTAAAGTGAGGCAGCTGTCTTATTCGCAATCATAAATGACGCACGTCTGTCTGCCTGCCTGCCTGCCTGCCTTGGAGCTGACTCAAAGCATATTAGCCGAGGAAGACTGGATCCGTCCAATCACAACCATTCATTTCCAGGCACCCCCAGCATTCGTAATCGGAATCGACGACCAACGTACCTTCCTAGGGCGTAAAGTCCTAGTCACGTATCGCTCCACGCTCCACTGTGGGTATCTGGATCAAGGTCTCTCATACCCTAGTTTGGCACTGAAAGCGAGTAACGAGAACAATAGAGTCATATAAATAATCGCTCATTCTGCATCTTCTTCATGTTCTTCAGTCACAGTTGACTTTTTTTTTCAATAATCTTGTAGTCAGAAACACACATCGCAATGGCATCGAATCCAATGGGCAAATGCTGCATTGTCGGCGTCAAGCACCAAGGCACACCCAAAGGCAATGTCAAGCAAATCGGCAACAGTAAAACAACGCCTCGTCCATGATCAGCAATCCCTCAAGACTAATCATTATAAGTCCGCACATACTTTGCCTATCCCGAAGACGGCAGCACCCAGAATGCCATTCTGCTCATGACAGACGCCCTGGGCATGGACTTTCTCAACACCCAGCTCATTGCTGATCAATTTGCCGTATGTCTTCTTCTGCGCATCATCCATTTCTCTTGGTATTGAACAACCACGCAAACAGGTCAACGGCTATCTCGTCGTCATCCCCGATGTCTTCAACGGCAATCACATCCGCTTTCCCTTCCCTCCTTCATTCAGCCTGCAGGATTGGGTCGACAACACCATGCCGCGCACACCCACCGTCGACCCTATCTACGAAACAGTAATCAATCATCTCCGCAACAAGCTAGGCGTCAAACGACTCGGCGGCATAGGCTACTGTTTTGGCGGCAAATACGTGTGCAGATGGTTGAAGCCAGGCAGTCTAGATGCAGGATTCATTGCGCACCCGAGTTTCGTTGATGCGGATGAAGTAAGGGGTGTACAGCGTCCATTGAGTATTGCTGCAGCAGGTAAAAGAAAATTACACCAATACCCTCATCTGAGTTTGCTCGAGTACTGATATCGGCCAAACAGAAACTGATGAAATCTTCCCCGCTGAGAAGCGCCGCCAAACAGAAGATATTCTTAAAGAAACAAAGGTTTCCTATCAGGTATTTCTCTACTCTCACGTCGAACACGGATTCGCTACAAAGGGCAATCTGGAAATTGATCGCGAGAGATTCGCAAAGGAACAGGCCTTCTTCCAGGCGGTATTTTGGATGGATGAGTATGTCAAGCGGGGGGTCGCCGGACCAAGCATATAGTACCAAACTAACAATTGATTCCGTATCGAAACGAGTTAATAATCTCAATCATTAGAAATTTTTACCACCTAACTGAGTTACACCCATCTACCCAAAAGTTTCCCCTGCAGACCAAAAAAGCGAAACACGCACTAGCCTTCCAGAAAGGAGAACATTGGTAGGTTCCTTCCCAACGCTAAGAAGGAAGGGCCAGGTCCCTACTAATTAAGTATTACTAGTAGTCTTGGCGCTTGATGCTAATAACAAACGCTACTAGGCGACTATCTTGACTACGCAAGACCTCTCTCTCTCTGCTTAATACTGCATAAACGCAACTCTACTGTGTACTCGCTTTCTGTTATCCCTGGCGCTTAAACCTTTAGTCAATGGCTATGCGTCGCCAAGCTACCTGTAACCTACTTGCGACCCTGTCCCACCCGCCCTGGACGAGAGGTCTTGATCGAGAAGTGTACATGACGCTAGGTGGAGAAGAACGGATTTCTTTCTATGTATACGTCCAAGAAAGTAGCACCCTTACAGTTGCATCACAAGACAACGCAACCTTATCGAATTTCCACCGACTTCCAGAAGAGATGCAGCTTTGTATACTAGCTATGTGCTCTACTAGTACTCTCTTTCAGCTTATGCATACCTCTTCCAAGTTTCGCACGGAAGCTTCGAAGCTGTTTTGGGGAAAGGGAGATGCATATTTCCTAGTTGAAGCACAATGGCTCCTAAATGAAGCCTACCCAGGCCAGTCATTTTGGGACATGGCCTTTCTCACTAATGTGCAAAACATCGAGATTGAATGTCGGGCTGGAATTACGCAGCAAATATGCGTACAACGAGACAACTTATGCGACGTTCAGCACGACCTAGTTGATGTTTTCTGGGCCTCGCTAAAAGACAAGTTTCCGAACGTTAAAAAGGTCATCTTGAACTACAACGAGGAACGTGTCAGCTGGGATGAAGAGCCTTTTCCGCTACCACTACAGCTTCTACTGCGAGCTTGTCCTCAGGGCATCGAATCCTCTCTTCTCTTTCTCGACAAGGAGCCAAAGCCTCATCTGCTAGCCGGAACCCCAGATTGGCGTACTGGTGCGTGGCACCGATGCTCATTCCAACTAGCAGGTGACGGAGAGTGGCACAAGAGCGAGCCAAAAACCTTTCGGCAAACAATCTTGATGCCGCCAAAGCAATTCAAAGGTCCAGTGGGGCGTTACAACGAGCTTAAATATCAGTGCTACCATAAGATTCCTCTTCAGCGATTCGGGCTGTGGCCACTCATGGTGGAAGCCTTGGACCGGCATCACTCTAGCCTCGGACGCGATGCGTCTTTTGTTTGCCCTCTGTCCAGCTGTCCAGCTTCCTTCTGCCAGGCTGGAGAGTGGACAGTTCATGCTGCAAAGACACATTATCAAGAGTGGAAAAGGCTGCTAGAGGTATTGCCTGATAGTAGGGTGGGAGCTAGACTGAAGGAGCGTAGCCAAGCGCTAGATAGAAAGACGAAGCAAGTGCAGGAACAGTTCAAGGAGATAAAGAATGCGTGGATAACAAGCGACGAAGCAACAAGAGCAAAGATAAAGCGCAGCTGGATAGAGCAATTAGGTAGCGATGCTGCGTGGGAGACTAGAGGGAAAGGAGAGGAGAGTTGCCTTTGGGTTGAGTTTATGCAGCATCTGCACTCTGATTATTATTAGAGTAGAGCATACTTGGGTAGAGTGCGAATTACTTTATAGTATAACTATATAGATATAGAGAAATACTATATAATCCTGCATACGTAATAGAGACTATCCTGTTCCAACAGGTGGCTGATAGATCTCCAAGGGTCGGTCTTTAGTCCAGAACATTGTGACAATTACTACACATTCATTACAAAGCCGGGAAAACTATCTACAAACTCTACCTTGGGAACACTATTTTTTTTTGCCTGTAACAAGTCATGAATTTATTGCATAACAGCTCTACAATCCCACACGAGCACTCTCTCATCCCACCCCGTACTCGCACACCATCCCTCTGCACCAAACAAACACCAGTCCACACCAGTCACAAACTCTGTGTGCCTCCCCATCCTCCCCATCTCCCTGCCTCCACCATAAAACATGGGATCCTCAAGCATATTCTCCTGCTTAACATTCCCTACACCCATAGCGCTGCCATCAGTCCACACCCGACACGTCATGTCGTAACTAGCACTGAGCAGTATATCCGAGAGATGGGGACTCCAACTCAACCTCCTGACCGCATACTCGTGACCTGGTAAGACAGCAATCGGTCCCTGCTGCGGCATGCGAATATCAAACGTGCGAATAATGCGATCCACGCCCGCCGTCGCAACAATCGTGTCGCGGTACTTGTTCCAATCGTGCGTTAGTGCTTCTGCGGGCGCAATACCCACGGGCGCTGCAGTTCCCATGCGCGCCTTGGGCGGCTGGTGAATCGGCAGACTCATCGTGAGATGGTTACTTGCACTCGCCGGCGTGCGCAAATCAAAGACGCGGAGATGGCTATCCGAACTCACGCTGCTGAGCACACTGGGGTTGTGCGGGCTGAACGCCGCAGAGTAAGTACACGAATGCGTGGGCAGCGTCGTGATACTGGCGTTTGCATTGGGGTTCCAGATTTTGATTGTGCCGTCCCACGACGACGAGAGAAATGTGTCTTTGGCGACGAGGTTCCAGTGGACGGCAAAGACTTCTCGCGCGTGCTCTTGCCACGAGGCGATGGGGTACGTGGGCACGTTGATGTCGAAGAGTTTGACGGAGCCGTCGCCGCCGGCGGTTAGGAGTTGGTTCTCGTGCGATTCGGACCAGGTGCTGTCAAAGAGCGAGTCTTGGGTGTCGAACCTGTGTGGTTGGTGTGGTTAGCATGTGAAAGAGCTGGGTGTATACACACCAATATGTATACCATAGGTACATGAGTAATCGAAAAGAGGATAATACATACCATTTCTCAGCGACTATCCCATTAGCCGTCAAACCAAGAATATACAGCCGTCCATTCCCTACGAGTCCAAAGTTCGCAGATGTAGCGACTGCGATGCGCGAATCAAAGAACGGGCTGTACTTGACCGAGTAGCCGTTGAAGCCCTGGGTGCGGAACTCGAGCATGTTGGCGGTTAAGTGAGAGTCAAAACGAGAGAGAGAAAAGGTTCAGACTATGGCGCGTGCAGGTTGGACAGCATGTAGCGCATCTTTGCGCGACGGGAAAAGAAGTGAAGCTGGGGGATGATGTGCTGCATGCATGGTTTGGCGGATGACGAGTGCGGGTGGTGCTCTACTATGGCCGAGGCGCAAGAGTAGCTCATGGCGGGGCTGGCAATCCGGGTAAGCAGGGGAACCCTTTTTTGGTCCCGTGACTACGCGTTGGGGGCGTTTGTAGCCTGGGGCTGTTCGCCACCTGCGTCTAGTACTATCAATTGCTGGATGCGGCTTGTTTCGACATGAGGACCGTATCGTGCGTTTTACAGGGAAGAGATGGACGCGTTCGTGACACGCAAGAGGAAGCGGGATGAGCGGGTGGTGAAGCCCGCAGTTGCGACTACGCGTGTGGAGCCAGAGAAAGAGGAGGAGTCTACGGATTTCAAATTGGCGGTACTGGCATCGTTACATGCCGATGTTGATGAAGCGGCTCTACTTGAAGCCCTACTCGTGGCAGACGGATCAGTCGAGCAGGCTTCAGAGTACCTGACACAATCATCGAGGTCACCTGCGAGAAAGCGACCCGCGCCAACTACAGTCGGATATCAATCGTCATTGACCTCATACCGGATTGCCCCGTTAAATGGCACCCAGACAAAGAAATCCGTAGTGAAGAAAGGCAAAACGCTGTTCCTGTATAGCCCGGAAGACATTGAAACACATACACCATGTTCCATTATCCACAACTTTCTCCCAGCCAAACAAGCCGATGCGTTACTCTTGGAGTTACTCGAGGAATCCTCGACATACCAACGGTTTGAATTCAAGCTTTTCGACAGAGTAGTGCAGAGCCCACACACGTATGCCTTTTACGTCAACAGTCTCGAAGAGGTGGAGCAGCAAAAGACGGAATATATCTACGACGGGCGACAGATAGACGTACGTTCCTAGTCAATCTCCTCAATCTCCTCTTGTTAATATACACATTAACAACATCCCCCCCTCAGAATGTCCGCCAAAGCCCCCCCTCCCTCCTCGCCGCCCTCCCAGCCGTCCAAACAGCCGTAAACACCGAAATCCGACGCCGAATCACCACCTACTACCCCAACGCGCAAAAGCTCCCTCACCAATCCCCGCACCCCTGGCACCCAAACACCGCCTTCGTAAACTGCTACGACGGCCCCCACCAAAGCGTAGGCTACCACGCCGACCAACTCACCTACCTCGGTCCACGCCCCGTAATCGGGAGTTTGAGTCTCGGCGTCGCCCGCGAGTTTCGCGTGCGCAGAGTCGTCCCGCAAGATGACGATGAGGTAGATGGTGTAGAGAAGGCGGATGCCCAGGGCCAAATTAGTATCCACCTCCCACATAATTCCTTATTAGTGATGCATGCGGAGATGCAGGAGGAGTGGAAACATAGTATAGCGCCCGCTCACGCTATCGATCCGCATCCCCTAGCGGGCAACAAGAGGATTAATGTGACATATCGCTGGTACAAGGAGAGTTTGCATCCGAAGTTTACGCCGAGGTGTCGCTGTGGGGTGCCGACGGTGCTGCGGTGTGCGATGAGGAGGAAGGAGTCGAGGGGACGGTATATGTGGATGTGTCATGCGGGGTTTGTGCCGGGGAAGGAGGGGTGTGGGTTTTTTATGTGGGCGGAGTTTGATGGGGATGGGGAACCGCCATGGGCTACTGCTGGGAAGGTGAGGGAGGAAGAGAAGGGTGGGTGATTGGGTTGGGGTTGAGAGGAGGAAGGTTGAAGTGGATGAGATGGGACGAGTACAGGACCATTTATCAAACTCAGCATAGTACCGAACGACGCTGGATAAAACCGCAGTACAATGAGAATTGGGATGGTATTTGCTACTGGGCGTAAAATGCTACAAACAAGTCACTTCTACAAATAAATTCCCTTAAAAATATAGCATTCAGAAAACAAAAAGAAGAGATAGGGTATCATAATCCCATGTACACAAAACACCGCCTCAAACACCAAAATGCAACTCCCGTCTTTTACCAAAAATATCAAAAAACAACGCCAAATACCATGCATCATGCACTTGTTAAAAAGGAAATCCATCATCTTGCAATGCAACACACCACCTTCTTTTCACAAAACAACCCTCACAAATCCCCCAGATTCAATATATCCTCCAACGTCTCATCTATATCCGCCATATCCTGCACACTCCCTCCTTGCCAATGCAATCCCACTTCCTCATCCACCATCATCGCATCTCCAAAATCCACAGTCCATGTTTCTGGCGCAAAGCCAAGTTTAGCATCGCCATTTGTGTGCCCGTTCGTCAAAGGCTTAGAAGAAGACGTATTATCGTAAAGATCTTCGATACCCTCTGTATCCAGAAACCGGGAATGCAAGATGGAACCCGCGATAAACGGAGTTTGACCGAGGTATCCATCGCCGAGTTCAAGTGCAAGCCGCAAGTCTTCTGTGCAAAGTGGTTTTCTTTTACGGCGCTCTTCGGCTTCGATAGGGAGTTCGCCCGCGGGACCGCGCATAAGCTCGCCCTTTTCCGCCAGCCGTTCTTCTCGTGCTTGTTTCTTTTTGAAGTCACCCGTGCGGACGTAGCCGGGGCCGTTGCTGCAGACTTTTCCAAGGAGGTTTGCGAGGGCTTCTTTGATGTAGGTTTCGGTTGCAATGTTGAGGTAGTCGGGGCAGTCGGGCGTGTGGCCTTGGGGGAGGCCGTATTCGTAGCATATAGGGAGGAGGCGATAGGATATTGTCATGGCGGTGGGAAATTCGTGGGTTTCGACGTAGAGGGCGGATGTGTAGCGCTTGCGGATTTCGAGTTCCCAGTCTATGGCAGTTATCAGTATGCGCAGATAGCGAATTTGTATGGCGATGGAATGTCATGATACGTACTCGTCTTTGCGAATCCGCCGCCTTGGTTGCTACTAGGTCCAATGTCCAGCTGCTTCGCTCGTCTGGCATCGACATACTCCTGTACCGGTCCTGTCATGCCCACACTCAAGCCCCCCTCCAAGCCTGTACTCAACGGACTCTCGCCCGCTGGTATGCCCTTTAACCTCTTCCTCTCCCTACGGCTGAGTTGCATAACTTCATGTTTCAGCCGCTTCTCGCTCTCATCCCCTGTCCCCTTGACCGTCCCGCTCATCGGCTTATCGCTACTGCTGACCCAGCTGGCGATACCAGCTTCTGGCGGATCGCGCCATATGTTTGCATAGATGGCTGTGAAAAGGGCATTGTGCGCATGTTCAAGGGCGGGTGTGGTCAAGATCCTGGATAGCTTCTGGGAGAGTTCCTCCTGGTTGAGATTGCCGAGGAGAAAGTAGGAGAGGGTTTTCTTGTAGACTGTCCAGTCAGCGTCGCTGATGGCGCCCTTGACAGCTGCATATAGGGGCTCGACATCTACGCGCGGGCTTCGTGGCACACTGGGCTTCTTGCTGAGGTCCGTTTGCAGGGTCATGAGGTTGGGCAAGGTGCCCGAGGAGAGAGTCGGCGTCGTCGCGACATTCATCTCATTCGGCCGTATCGTGCCTGCCATGATGGCGGTGGAGACGCGCCGTGGTGGCGCTCAATGCGTGGTGATGTGCGCGTTGCGAGTTGGTCGCGCAGTGGGACAGATGCGCGTGCCAACGGCCGAGATGAATATCGAGCGAGGGACAGCGACAGAGAGACCTGCGTGTTTATATGAATATATAACCCAAGTCGCAGAAGCAGCCACTATTGTTCCCTGATGACGGAGAGATGCAGCGGGTCTTGTGCGGGGTGTGGGTTGATGGGACGGCTCGCAGTCGTGGAGAGCGTGAGGTCAGAGCTCGGGGGTCTTGCGGAGTTGACGCTGAACCGCCTAACAAGGTCACCCATAGGTACATGTCAAACCCGCCGGATTCAATCTCTTCCTTCGCATACTACCTCGGAGGAAAGCCCATACTGCACCAACTTGTACTGTAATCAGGAAACCATCATGGTGCATTATCGCAATTATTTTAGTCCTTATGCTGATGCTAGACGCCGCCCAGGGAGGCTTTTCTTTTCTACCCATGTACACAATCCCATCACGAATCATCGCCAAACACATCTCCTAGCTCAACCTTTCCGACACTCCAGATTTCACGTTCATCCTCAACCTCATCACTAGATAGACCAAGACCGCCTGCTCCACCTTCTGCCTCTTTCCTTTCTCTTGCTTGCCCTGCTAGCCTCATGGCCACACGCTTGAAATAGTCTCCCATGCTACGTTGCTGACCAGGAGACAAGCTCTTGCCTGGACCAGTCATGTACTTGTCGAACACGGTGCTTTCCTCGTCTACTACCGAGAAGATGCTAAGGAAGGCTGCCTCTGCAGCCAGCTTGACTGGAATGACCGGATCACGAACAGATGCGAATACCACTGGTATGACCAATGGAATATGTGGCCGGACGAGCTCGTTGTGTTGCCGCGAGACGGTTCGAAGCACCACAAGCGCCAACCGCCTCGTATCAACAGGATTGCCCGGCTCAACAACTGGCGCAAGAGCCTCGAAAATTGGTTTTGTATGATCGAAACTCTTGTTGCTCTTCTCAGACAGCAGATATTTGCCCGCTGCAAGGACCGAATTGTCTGAAATAAACGGTTGTGAGTGCGCAATACCCTGGCAGATAATGGACACAGTCTCGTCAGCAAAAGATTCTGTCAAGGCTTCGGGTGCATCAAGCAAGATAGCGTTGAGCGCCAACACGGAAGCTTTGTTGTAATGTGTCGTAAGGACACGGGCCTTCAGCAGGCTGGCAGCAATTTCTCCGGGTAAGCAACTGATGAGGGCACCCAAAAGTCGAGCATTTGTAATGGCCATTGCGTCTAGACGTTGTTAGTGGGTAATGGAACTATGTTATCGATTCCGGTCTTACCATTGGATTCATCGGTCTCAGTATCAATGAGACCCAAAATGGAATTTCTGCTCGCTTCGCTCATGTTCTTGCCCGCCTTGCTTACTACTTCAAACAGAGCTTTCAGCATGGCAGTCTTGACAGCCTCGTCGCTTGTCTTGGATCCCGTCACCAACTCGGCAATTAGAGGGTCCACCCTTGGTGTTAGCTTGATCAGTGTACCCAAAGCCTTGGCCGCTCGTGCTCGTAGGATATCAGAGGATGTGTCTGCGAGTGATTTGGCAAATGTTCGTTGAAGTTGCGGTAGGAAAGGTTTGAGGAAGGTAGGAATCTTTCCGAGGAGATTATTGAGCGTGAGTAGGATGGCGGCCTTGACATCGACAGAGCGCTCTGTAACCACACGAATGAGAGGTCCAGTAATCTGAGTGACAAATGGCTGCAGTGCTTTGGCGCTTGTACGGTCAATGATATCAGAGATAGCCAATGCAGACTGTGTTCGCTGCTCTACCGATCCGTTCATGAGACCTTGCAGGAAAATAGGCAAGATGGCGTTGATACCCTTTGGCAAGGAGAAACCGGGAAGGTCTGCACCGGCAACACCGACTTGGTTGAGTGTTTGGCGTGTAGACATGACGAGCGACTCCATCTCTTCCTTTCGCAGCCGCTTCGATGTGAGGGTACTGAGCGCAGTCCATGCTGCTTTGACGACCTCGGGATCGCTGTCGTCAAAGGAAATGAGGAGTGCACGAATAAGATCGGGATAGTACCTCGAAAAGTCGACATCCGCTTCTGCGAAGAACTTGGCAAGGTGCATATCCGCACGTGCGCGTCGCCTCTCGTCGTCGTGCTTCGACAAAGCAAGCATGACACTCATGGCGGTATTGAGCCCATCAAACTCATCCACAGACAGGAGTACCTTGTCGAAAGATGCTTCCAGTTCTGACTTGAGATCTTCGTCCTTTGTAGCAATGATGTTGTCCATGATAGTATTGAGGATATTTGGCAATCTCCTAGACATGGAAGAGCTTGCAACTTCAGCCAACGATGCAATGGCGCGAGCATTGAAGGCAGACATTGGGGAAGTAAGAAGCGTTGGTAGCAGATTTGGCAGAATGATGTTGGACCTTGCCTGGTCTGTGAGAAGAGTGAGAAGTGCCGAGAGGGCATTCTGGGCATCATCCTCTGACCGCAGAAGGTTGAGTAGATATGGCAAGACCTGGTCGACGGCCTTCTTGCCGAGAATTTGCTGAAGAGCATCGAATGCATCCGCTGCAGCTTCTCGCACGTCTGCATTGTGATCCACCAGAGCTGTTCGGACGACCTGTATGAGTGTCTTCTCATAATCCTCAAGCTGTTCTGGTGAAGCAGCTGCGATAAGTTCTCGCAAGGCAATGCAGATACCCTGCTTGGTGTCGGTATCGGTAGTATGAAGACCTTCTTCCAAAGTAGGCAACAAAGTAGCCAATACACCGTCTCCAGCCTTTCGAATAAGTTCTCCAAGGGAGTTGCTGGCAATGACCTTCTGCTCCATGTTCGAGCTTGCCAAGCGACGGATGATGAGTTGTGTGAGCGTAGGGATAAGTTCCCGCAGGGTACGAGGACTGGCAACCAATGCCTTCCAGACGGTGACGGATGCAGTGCGCACCAGACCCGAAGTATCGCACCTGCATATGTACAACGCAGACAAAACCTTGTTTCGCTTCTCTTCTCCGAGTACTTCGAGCAGAGACTGGCCGGCTTCTTTGGCACCCTCTTCCACCTCTTCTTCTTCCACCTTGCCACTGATACCAGTGAGGTTGAAGAGAAGGTCTCCAACAAGCTCGACGGAACTGAGACGGATACGGTAGCTGTCGTCTGCAAGACCTCTCTCCAATTCGGGAAGCAGGAGATCGATGGCCTTGGTAGCGAAATTCTTAACCAAAAGACGACCCGCGCGCAAGGCAGTTTCTCGGATTGATTCGACGTCGTCTGCAAGACCACCAAGAATTGGGGGAATGATTTTGCTGAGATAGTTGGCAAAGCTGTTTCCGAAACAGACCGGCAAGAAGATGAAGAGCGACATGAATCCTTCGCGGACTGAGGCCCTGCTGCTGGCAACGTTCTGTAGGATACTTGGAAGCGTTTCCTCCAAACGTCCAGTTCCAAGACCTGCGAGGACTTCCGAAAGTGCTTGTGCAGAACCAAGTCGGTCTCCCGCACCTGTGTCGGACTTGAGTGTAGCCATAAGGCTCGGAATAAGATCGGGTAGCGCATCCTCTCCAAGCTTTTCCACGAGTGAACCGAGTGCTTTGGACGCGGTGGCACGCGTGGCCGGCACAGGGTCCACAATCGCAACGCGCAAACCAGCGACCAAAATTGGCAAATGAGAGATGAGATCCTTTCGCTCGGAAAGGTATGCCAAGCTTCCAATGATCTGGGAAGACTTTCGCTTTGTACCCGATCGATCTCCCAATCCTCGTTCCAGGATACGAACCACCAGAGCGAGAGATGGAGCGTCTAGGAAATGAGCGAATTGAATCTTGATCAATGCGTCAAGGGCATCGTCGGTGTATTTCGTAGGGTCGCTAAGAGCCTTGAGGATGATGTTGACGACACTCTTGATCTCGGGGTTGCTAATGACTTCTCCGAAGCGTTGCAAGCTTCGGTTTGCTGAAGCCCTTACTTCCTTGTGACTGTCTGTCAAGACTACAGTAAGAGGTGGGATAATATCGGGCAAGCTGAGAGCCAGCTGGTTCGGGTCCAGGTAGGCCATAGCTCCCAAAGAATCGCAGGCACCCTTCTTACTGCGCCATTGGTCCTCATCAAGACCATCCAGGAGTATTGGGAGCACCTGCTTCACTCCAAAGGAACTGAGTGTGGAGAAGCAGGTTTTTGCTGCGTCAAGACAAGCCTCGCGGACGTCTGCGCTGGTGTCACCAAATCCAGCAAGCAACTGTGGGACGAGCTGAATGACATATGGTTCGAACAAGCGGCCCATAATCAAGGAGAGCAGCTCATACGCTAGGTATACTCCCTGCCTCTGGTTGGGGTCCTTCTTGTTTTCGCTAGCTCCCTTGAGCGTAGACATGATGCGGTATTCTTTGAGTACGATCAAGCCCTTTCCTCGGACGATGCCTGCAAGTCCATAAGCAGCGCCGCGCCTTGAGGCATACTTCTTGGATTGTAGTAACTGCTCCATCATCTGGTTGATGTATGTAGAAAGCTCCTGTTCTGATGTGAGAACCAAAGGCGGGAGACATTGCGCGACGGCATATTGCACTGTCTCTGAAGGTGTACTGAGGGTCGACAACAACCTTTGCACGACCTTTGGAACTCGCTCATCTCCAGCAGCCAAATGACGACCGAGTGCACCGTAAAGAATGACGACTGCTTCGTTGACTTGATCATACATCTCGGATTTGCGATCAGGTGCTTCGAGCGCGTTCTCGAAAAGTTCCATCAATGGCTCAACCTTGGTCTGCGCCTTCGCTGAGATGACTGATGTTGCTGCTTCTATCAATTCGTCTCGGACTGCGGGGCTTCGATCTCCCAGAGGGCCCTCATAAATCAAAAAGTTGAAGAACTCAGGGAGGTCATCAGGCTTAAATCCCGGAGTCATTTCCTTGAAGGTGAGTGCAATGCCATCTCTGCTCTCCCAAGGATCTCGTAGATCAACCTTTCGGGGCATACCATACTCATCACGCTCAGGAACCCGCGGCTTAGCCTTTTCCGTATATGACTCGCGAAGCCTCTTCAAAAGGTCGTCGAATGTATCTGGGTATTTGGTTATGATCTCGCCGATAGATCGAGCAGCAGCTCGTCTGAGTGGTTTGTCCAGTGAATCGAGATATGGTAGCATCTGTACACCCGCGTCTGGCTTCAATTCGAGATCATTCTCCTCCCAGATTGTCTGTGCAAGTTCCGCGTTTTCCGGTACATCGTCATGACAAGCAATGAATATTTCTTCGCTGAAGGTCATGCCGTTCATGTCTAGCTCAGCATCTATGGCTTGAAGAGTCGCTGTTCGGACACCGGTCTCCGGGACAATGGTTCCACGAAGCAGGGCTGTCAGCTCGTCGTTGGTAATGTTCGGAGCCAGACCACGAGCAAGATCCAAAAGACAATCCTTGATCAACTTGTAGTGTTGCTGGTACCGTTGCATTGACCACACAAGAATCTCTAACATGTTCTTGCGTGGAAGACGGGGGTCAGTACCTGTAATTAATTAGTTCCTGGTCTGAGCATTTGTAATAAGACACTTACAAGAGTTTGTATGGAATGTAAGAATTTCGATGGCGAGGATAAGCTGTTCATCAACTTCCTCAGGCGAGGATTTGCCTATACCACCCTTTTCCAAGACTAAGAAGATGAGGGGTAAGCAGTAGGCGAGAGATACAGCGTCCAATGGTCTTTGTTCACTCAAGAAACGAATGCGGTACATGACGCGTGTCACAAGGTCTGATAGCATTAGCATGTATGAACATACGGTCAAACGGGGCGTAATTCAACTTACCACCAAGGTCTTCATCCTCGTACTCTTTCGCGAGTTGTATGGAGCCAATTGTTCGAAGTACAGCCACGCCAACAAATGGTCTTAGTGGACCCAAACGGCTAGAAATCTTTTCAGAACAAGCGATCAAAGCAGTTGCCGGGACATCTCCTAGGAGAAGTCCAGCGCCAGCGCGCACAGCTTGGATCAAGAGATCCACGGCCGGACCCATCCACTGATCTGCATCGGTAGGGGGGCCAGTTGCAAGGCTCTGGATAATGCCCACTCCTCGCTTCATTCTTTGCTCAATACCAGAAACTTCCTTCCTAATGGCTGATTCTTTAGCCAGCTGAGCATTGACCTTGGCTTGCTCATCTGCAGTAAGTTTCTTAGTCTGACCCTTCTTTTGCGCCAGTTGTGCTCGGAGCTCCTCTTCCCACTTCAGAGTATCGTAGTCCTTGGTATTCTTGTCTATCACAACGGGCGCCTTCTTGGACAGGACATCGATATAAGCCGTGCCTTCAGGAGTACGGAAAATGGCAGCTTCGGTCGGACCAACGGCTTCCAGCTGTTTTGGATCCAGATCTTGACTGAATTGCTTGACTACGGCGGGCAAGGCAGCATCTGGAGCAACGAAAGCCATGTCAGAGTATGCACTATAGGCTGCCAAGCCAATTGCTGGAAATCGGTCATTGTCCTTGTTCTTCCAAGTACGTTAGCAATAAGACTTTCTGGGATTTCATAGGTCTACATACCTCTGTAGACTCATTGACAGTCTGCATAAAGTCTTCCAGATTGTTCCGAACTACATCACCGGGATCAACGCCCATGCGCAGACACAGCTCGATCCAAGATACTCGAGGAATGACTTCCTTTCTTGCCAGAACAACAAGGTCTCTCGCCTGTTTGTGCAGAGTCGAAGGCTCGATGCTTACACCCTGTTTCTTTGTCGTATCTGGGGGTAGGCAAATACAGGCTAGAACTGCCCCAAGCTCGTTAGAGCCTGTTTTGGATGCCAGTGCAGCGCTGTCCTTGTCCTCAAGCTCATTTAACTTATACCACGTCCAGATTCCATCTATGATGATGCTGCTGATCTTCTCTGGGGATGTTTGGAGGTAGACTTGCGTCAGTGCTTGTTTAGCAGCCGACTTTGCTTTAGCAGAGATGCTCTGCGATACGATGAGGAATATATACGCCTGTGCCCATGAATCGCGAACATCCTTGGAGGAAGATTGTGTGACACTTGGTGCAACGGCGTTCAGTGCAAGTAATGCAATCGAGACATCTTCCTCAGCGGATAGTTTCGAGTACACTTTCGGGTTGAGGATGAAGGAAGGCTTGGGCTGCGTGGCGAGAGATTGTGAGATGACATCGGATTTTTTGAAGATGGATGTTAGTTTCTCATCCTTCATGTTCTGGACTCTATCAATGAGAAGCGCCGCAACGTAGTGTCCTACTGTGGCTAAGCCACTTTGGGCTGCTGGGAGTGGATTGGTATTGACATCTTGCCAGAGCTCAACGAGCTTTGGAAGCGTGGCTTGGCAGAAGGCAAGTACATCTAGTTGGCTCTGCTGCTCTTCAGACAAATTCCACCAAATATCCGCTGCACGGACGGCCCAGAGCCGCTTGACAGGAACGCGCTTGTCTCCCATGCCTTTGATAAAGGCATCGGATACCGCCTTGTCGAGGGCAACACCGTTGGCTAGACCGAAGTTCAGATGGGTTGTCATTGCTGACACTTCTGCAAGCACAGCTGGCTCACTTGCCTCCTTCAAGGCAACGGCTGCGATGCCTACGGGAATTTTCTTGGACAGTGAGGGAGACTCGGGTAACGCCGTAAGCATCTGAGCGTGCAGGACCTTCTGGTCAGCACCCGACACCTTGCCCTGTTTGAGAGGATTCAGCACTTCGTCTGCTACTTTGTCAATCCTGTCGCTATCCTTTGATCGTGAGGCAAGGGCCTTGAAGGTGCGCAGGGCGCCAGCTCGAATAATCGGGTTGGTAGATTTGACGTTAGCCAGCAGCGGCTTCAGCATGTTGCTGAGGAGAATTTCTGAGAGGTCCATGGACTCGGGCAGGGCGAGGATCATGGGCGAGACGATGTCGTTGAGCACCACTTCAGGTGCTCTCAGGAGAGCCTTTTCAATGGGTTGGAAGACATTGGTGCGCAGCTCGTCCAAGGTAGGGAAGGTGTCGAAGAAATCGTGCAGGGCGTTGGAGATGTGGTGTGGGAGTTGGTTTCTCGAGCCAATAATTTCTCTTGTGTAGAAGGCATAGTAATCTTGCTTGTGATTTTCGAGGAGCGGCTTGATGGTTGGCAGGCGAGACGAGACGCCTGCGATGACACCGAGGAAGACGGCATTTCCAGCCGTGGGAGCAGAGCCCTTTGCGGTGAGGGTAGTGACGAGTTTGGAGAGAGCGTCTTGGGCGATTGCCTCTGAGCGGAAGACGGCGCGCAGAGCTCGTCTAGTAGAGACGAGGGCAGAGTGTGCGAGGCGGCTAGCCCGGCGATCGCTGCCTGTGCCCACACACAACTCTATTGCGCGCGCATCGGCGAGGGCGACGTTCAGTCCGTGGGTTGCCCAAGCATCGGGTGACTTTGCGAGTTGCAGAAGCAGCACCGAGCACCAGTCGTTGAGCACAAAGGCATTGGAGTGGGCAATGCCCTTCTTTGCACACTCTTGTTGCAGGAACTTGACGATAGGCGGCAGCACCTTTGTTCCGTGTGGGCCCGTCACCAGCGACCTGAGGACGCCTTCGACGGCGCGGCGGGATTCGCGGTCCTCGTATAGCGGGTATGTCTCGAAAAGTGTTTCTAGGAGCGCTTGCAGGTCGGCAGTCTTCAGTGCTGCTGCACAGGACAGGGTCTCGTCAGTCTATTGCTGGTCGTATACATTCATACACATATGTATATACATATATGCATGTGTGGGTGGGTGCATCGGGGCGTCCAGGCACTCACAGTCATCTGCGACCTGTTGCTGCAGGCCCGACAGCTCGTGGATGCGGCGCTTGGTGGAGCTCGTGATGAGCTTCTGCCACAGTCTGTCGCGGTCCAGGGCCTGGGCTTCAGCATCCCCATTCAAAGCCATGTCGTCCAGTCCATACGCAAAGGCCAAATGCGGATGCGGGGAGGTCGGCGGGGTGGGTGGTGAGGAGCAACAATCGCGAAATGATAATGCCAAGATTTCTCGTCTATTTGCCCACCTGCGACGGACTACCATGACATCGCTGCTCGGCGCTCAGTGCTCAGTGTCAGGGCACAGGGCCATGTGGATCGCCTTGCCATCACCAAACCCCCACCACTGGCCTCGTCTCCCTGCCGCTCGCCGCCTAGCTGCTGCTGCTTCTCCACCAACTGAGCGCCCTGATGCGTCCCGTCTGTATCTCAGCCCTGCCCAATCTTGATCTCGCTCGGGATCAGGCTCCGAGGTATTCTATACGGCAGCCCGCTTGAACTACATCCCTGCCCCTCACCTTACTTAGCACCCCGGAATCGTATCAATTAGCCAAAAAGAGAAAAGAGGATATTCGCCCCAGCCTTTCCCATGGCCAAAAAGAAGAAGCCAGCCGGCAATCCTGCGCGTGGCTTTGCAACCACATCTGTGGCCAGCAAACCTAAACCCGATAGGTCTGTCGCTGACGCCCCAGCTAAAGAAGTTTCTCAAGCGCAGTCAAAAGAAAGCCAAGCAGTACCAGAGCCGGCATCTCAGGTACCCCAGCAGGCTACACTGCCAAAAGAGGAAGTTGCACAAACTCCCGAAGAGCTCGAGGCCCAACTCGAGCGCGATGAGCTTCAATTGTTAGTTGAAAAGCATGCTGCTAAAGTCCGCCGCGAATCCAGTCGTCATGTTACACGCTTCCAGACCGACCGCAGGCTTCTGCGCAGCCAGTCTTACTCTATCGCCGTTCATGAATGGCTGCCCGGAGAGATCCTGGACAGCATCATACTCTTAGCACAAGCAGAGTCCAATGATTCAAACAGGAGGCAGGGCCAACAGTCTTTTCTGAAAACATTGACCGAAGACGATGCCATTTTCAAACTATGGACGCTTGATTTGACCCTCCGTGAACTTGGCTTCGCAGACAGTCACATCGAACCTGTCTCAACATGGCTCTGCGCCAACGCCGCTGGTGTCGATGCGTCATCTGGTATATGGGGTTTTCAAGAAGCCTTGGAATGGCTTGCACTCGACCAGTGTGAAGATTTCAATTTTTCATATGAAGAGTCGCCGCCCAAACGCGCAGCTCTCGACGCTCCTCCTCCTTCGCGACCTGGTAAGTCGTCCACCTCCATGTACACTTTAGTGCGCCTCGCTAACCATAAATAGTTACACCACCCCGTGAGGCGTTGGCAAAGACCGCAGCCACACCAGGAGCCTCAACGCCTCCAAAAGCTAATGGCTCTACGCCTGTCGAAAACGACCAAAGTGATATCCATGTCAGCGATATCGACAGCGACATTGAAAGCGAGGACCTCGTCCCCACATATCTCAAGATCAAGAGCAAACTTTATGAGATTGACCCGCAGCTCGTGGAAACAACTACACGAAAGTCACAGAAAGGCGCAAAGTCGAAAAAGCCCGAGCCCGTCGCTCCCCAGACACCGGCTGTTCGAAAGTTACTCTCTCAGTTGCAACAGCTGAAGTCGGATACTTTATTCGATGAAGACGAAGCTGAGGAAAAGTGGCCAGCCAGGCGCAATCAAATCGCCCAGAACCAAGCCGAGAAACGGCAGCGGAACGGTACACAGCCCCAAGTTCTGAAAGAGCAGAAAGAAAATAATGAGACCCAACCTCAAAAGTCGATTGAAGCCGAGGTGCCCGCAACTGAAGCACCACCAGTTGCTAGCCAAGACGATGAGGATATGGATTTGCTCGGTGAAATGTTCTCTGCAGTTCCTGACTCACCATCGAAATTGGAAACTACGCCCAATGGCGCAGGCTCTGCTGATGTGACTATACGTGATTTTGGCAAGGCAAGCGGAGTATCTCCCCGCAAAGTGCTCGAAGAGGCGGTTCGCTCAAGGTATGCGACAAATGATCTCCGCTTTGAGCATATCAACTAAACATCGTTAGGGACTCTGGTGCGAGTTTGTCGTATGCAGTCATCTCACCTACTATGTACACTTGCCGACATTCACTTACTATCATTTGGTCAAAGGATGTCGATGTCGAATACGACACCGAAGTTGCTGGAGTGACTGTGACTCCTTATAGAGGGCAAATTACATTCGCAGCAATCGACCTTGCAACCGTGTCTGTTGAGCAAAGTGAGAGCTACATCTCAGTCGTTGCACTTTTCTCCATCTCTGCTGCCTCGCCGAAGGATGAAAAGGTCCATCTACGACTGCCACCAAACTGGAGAGAACTTTATAGAGAATTTCTCGAAAGTCGAAAGACACGTCTGGATGCTGCAGATCGCGATGCCATAAAGCGCTACCGTTCATTCGTCCAGGATCAAGTTGAAAATGAAGAGTCGGATGGTGTTGTTTTCACAAATCGCTTCAAGATGCGTAACCAGGCCGCTACAGGCTCTAGTGGATCAAACTCGGGGTACAACACGCCAATACGCCAACACGAAAGTCTAAGGGATCTATGGGCTGCCAAAACCTCTACTCCTTCATATCAACACATGCTTGTCGGCCGATCAAACCTTCCGGTCTTTGGTTTCAAGGAGTCCATTCTGTCAACGGTGGACAAGAACCAAGTCACCATAATTTGCGGTGAGACTGGGTGTGGAAAGAGTACGCAAATTCCGGCGTTTGTTCTCGAGCACGAGCTTGCACAAGGCAAGGCATGCAAAGTCTACTGTACCGAACCCAGACGAATCTCCGCCATTTCGCTTGCGCAACGTGTGAGCGAGGAGCTAGGCGAGGGGCCGAAAGATCTTGGTACTATGCGCTCACTTGTCGGTTACGCAATCCGACTCGAGTCTAAGATGTCATCACAAACTCGTCTAGTGTACGCAACTGTAGGTGTTGTACTTCGCATGTTGGAGTCTTCAGGAGCTTTACAAGAGGTTACGCATCTGATCATTGATGAGGTCCATGAAAGGTCTATTGACACAGACTTTCTCCTTGTTATTCTGCGGTCGCTGATGGTACGTCGGCCTGAATTGAAGGTGATATTGATGAGTGCTACCGTTGACGCCGCCAAATTCTCACGATACCTCAACGACGCACCCATTCTAACAGTGCCTGGTCGTACATTTCCAGTACAGACACGATACCTCGAGGATGCTATCGAACTGACGCACTATACGGGGGCATCTGAGCAGAACACCAACACTACTACCAGCGACAACGACGAGGATGACGAAGTCACAAGTGACAAATCCGGCATTCCTAACAAACTCCCTGGTTACAGTGCTGCAACGCGCAATGTGCTCTCTAACTACGACGAATACGCCATTGATTACGATTTGATTACCCGACTTATTGAAACCGTTGCCTACGACCCGCAACTGAGCCGCTTTAGCAGCGCCATTCTTGTGTTCCTTCCAGGTATTGCCGAAATCCGCCAACTGAACGATATTCTGGCTGGCCACCCTTCGTTCAAAGCTGATTGGTATGTGTATCCGTTGCACTCTACCATCTCAAGTGAGGATCAGCAGGCTGCATTTTTGATTCCTCCGCCGGGTGTGCGCAAGATTGTGCTCGCGACAAATATTGCAGAAACTGGAGTAACGATCCCGGACATTACCTGTGTCATCGACGTTGGCAAGCACAAGGAGATGAGATTTGACGAACGGAGGCAGCTCTCACGTCTGACGCAATCTTTTATCTCAAGAGCCAATGCGAAGCAGCGCCGTGGCCGTGCAGGCCGTGTTCAGGAGGGATTATGTTTCCACCTGTTTACGAAATACCGCCATGATAACCTGATGGCTGAACAACAGACGCCGGAGATGCTGAGACTGTCACTGCAAGATTTAGTTATGCGTGTTAAGATTTGCAAGTTGGGAGATATTGAGGCAACACTTGCTCAGGCGCTCGACCCACCCACGTCTAAGAACATCCGGCGTGCCATTGATGCACTTGTGGAGGTTGACGCGCTCACACCAAGTGAAGAGCTCACCCCGCTTGGTCGCCAAATTGCAAAGCTTCCGTTAGATGCACACCTAGGCAAACTCGTGTTGCTAGCTTGTACTTTTGGCTGTGTCGGCGTTGCCATCACCATTGCTGCAATTCTTTCTTCCAAGTCTCCCTTTGTGACACCTTTCGGAGCAAAGCAGCGTGCTGATATCGCTCGACTTGGATTCAAGAAAGGCGACTCGGACCTACTGACAACATACAATGCCTACAAAGCCTGGAAATTAGTATGCACAACTGCCGGCCGATCAGAAATGCAATTCTGCCATAAGAATTTCCTCAGCGCCCAGAACCTAGGCAACATCGAGGATCTCAAAGCACAGCTTCTCTCATCCCTCGTAGAAGCAGGCTTCATACAAATGACGCAAGACGAACGCCGAGCCCTGAACCGCTACAGAAGCACACCGCGCCACCGCGTATTCGTCGAAGTACCACCCCAATATGACACCTACTCCGACAACGACCTCCTCGTCAACTCCGTCATCGCAACGGCCTTTTACCCCAAGATGCTAACGCGCGAGGGCAAGGGATGGCGCAACATATCCAACAACCAGACCGTCAGCCTCGCACCCACATCCGTCAACAAGGGATCGTCAACCGCGCATTTCCTATCCTACTACCACATCATGCAGTCCAGCAATAAGTTCTACAACGCTCACTCGACATCCATTGCGTATCCCTTCGCCATGGTCCTCATGGTCGCTGCGGATCTCGACTTCAAACTGCACGCTGGCGTGATAAGTCTACCGGGCAACGTAGTCAGGTTCTCGGTAAGGGATTGGCGGGCTGCCGTGGGCTTGAAAGTGCTTAGGCGCAGAGTCAAGGAGATCTTAGCGGGTAGCTGGAAGAATCCTGCGAGACAATTAAGCCACCGTGAGCAAGAGTGGTTAGGCTTGTTTTTCAGGATCTTTGAGCAAAAGTTTGAGAAGGAAGAAAGGATTAGGGAGAAGGCGGCTGGAAAGGCGAAGTAGAAGGGTAGATGGCTGGCAATGGCAATGGAAATTCTTTTTTTTGGCACCAGGATGTTTGATATTTATTGTGTATGTGTTCTTGCTTAAATGAGACTCAATTGCAAAAAAGGGTATGTATGTAAAGAGGAGAGGTTTCAGCTTGCTAGATTTATACAGATGGCTTCTCGAACTCGGCCTTGCCATCCTTGATAGTGGCATATCTCACTGTGCCAGATGCATCCGTGTTTGGTATGGGTGCCTTTGTGCCTTGTTCGCCAATGGACTTGATTTCCTCCTTGATCTTCCTCGTCACGGCGTCTTCGACCGCGCCAGGCGGGCTGTCAGCAATCTCATCGACGTCTCGTAGTGTGAGAACGTCGCTGATGCGTGAAGCACGCGACTGGACGAGCATGGTTGTTGGGCCCTCGAAACGGAGGAAGAGCTGGGTAATGTTAGTCAGTATGTGAGTAAATACTGTAGGTCATGTGTTCAACGTACCCTGTCTCCCCAGACTGTCCTCCGCATCCATGTCTTGAGGGTGTGATATGTAGTGGCTAGCGCGCGCCATGTAGCCGTCTTGCTCATTGTTCGGAAAAACTGAGTGTTCTGGACCAGCGAGCCGAAGCCCAGGTCTGGAACTTGGAATCGCACATTCGACGACTTGAAGCGGAAGGGGACGGGTGGGGCGTTGGAGGCTGTGTATGCTACCAAGTTGCTGCGTAGTGGGGTTAGTCAAAGATGGTAGGTGGGCGGTTGTTCAGGCAAAGGCGGCATACCTGGGGTGGGCTACGTAGCTCTCACCAGCCTTGACGTGGACCTGGTAGATCTGGCCGTTTCCTGTCAATGCGAGTAGGCCCCTGCCTGTGATGTATGTGTTTCCCCAATGTGCCAGGCCGAGCTTGACATTGTATTGCGGCTTCAGCTTCAATGTGAGGCCAGTCCACGCAAGCAGCGCCTGTCTTTGGCTGATGATCCAGTCATCCCTTCCGTCTAGGTTTACTGAGACAATGCTCGATATGGGAGTTTTGGTGGAGATGAGGGCCGTGACGGGGCTGGTTGACGACACTTTTTGATAGAGGAATGGAATGCCGACGGGCGCGCGCTGAAAAGGCTTGAGGACAGACAGGGTGGAGAGAGTGTTTTCCGACTTGCCGCTGAGGCCGACGAGGGTACCGCGGCGGGTGTAGAGCGTCTGCGAGGCTGAGAGGGAGACAGAGAGGAGGGAGAAGGGTGTGCCGATGACGTCGAAGCGGGCGTCTGCGCAGGCCGAATATTTTAGCAGGGTCGCCTCGCTAAGGCCACAGAGAAATGCATACCGGGCGTGTGCATGGGCGTGGCGGTGCCCTCAACACTGACTGCCTGCTGCAGGCTTGGTTCTGGTGACGGGCTGGTGGCCGAGATGTTGATGCATCGCGCCGCAATTGATGGGCGACCAGTGGGTGTGCATGTGCGGGCCAGGTTCGCCCAGGGCGAGGCAGCCGATCGTAGCATGGCTGTGCCGGGCAATTGGCGTGTATGTGTGGGTGTCGAGATGGTTTGTTGGAGGAGTAGTAGTAACCGCAATGGCAGTTATTATTATTATTATTAGCAGTATCGGCCGGAATTAATTAGTCGTTATGATGCAAGCTCGCCCGCCCGCCCGCCGCAAACGCGCTAGACAAGGTGGGATGGGCTGCATCCATGTCGGGTGGGCTTCTCTAGGTACTCTCATATGACGTGCTCGTCTTCCTCTCTTCCGCCACTTTTTGTTCAAGCAATTGAACACACGCGCGGATTTCTTGTTCCTTTTCTTTGCTCCAGGCGTGTCTAACATGTCACTGCCATCATGTTAATTCCACCTCTTGCCCGCGCCGCCTGTCGGCCGGGTCTTCACGCATCCACGCTGCGCCTTCATCCTGTACACCACGGCATCCGCGTCTTCACCTCGTCTCCTCTTCATAGAAAAGATGCTCATGGCGAGCGGCCAAAGCCGGGTTCTCAGCCTGCACTCGAGGCTACCAAGCCCGCAGCCAATGCTACGGCTGCGAAAGCAAAAGTCGCAAAGGCAGATCCGTTGCTTCAAGAACAGGTCTTGACCAACAAGGAACAGCGCAAAGCTGACTGGGCCATTATCAAGGAAATGTCGCAGTATCTGTGGCCAAAGGACAACATGGGCACTAGATTCAGGGTTGGGCTGAGTGTAGGGTTGCTGGTTGGCGCAAAGCTGCTCAACGTGCAGGTCCCCTTCTATTTCAAGAGCATTGTAGACGCCATGAACATAGATTTTGCTGCTGTAGGCGGTACCGCGACTACCGTAGCAGGCTCGATGATTATCGCTTGTAAGCTAGACCCAGCAATGCATACTCGTCCCATTTTGGCTGAGACTACGACCAGACGGCTTGACCCGTATCGGTGCAACTGTATCCCAAGAACTGCGAAACGCCGTCTTTGCCAGTGTTGCTCAAAAGGCCATTCGCAAAGTGGCCTGCAGTGTCTATGACCATCTACTAAGGCTGGATCTGAGTTTCCATTTATCAAGGCAAACAGGAGGCCTCACAAGGGCCATTGATCGTGGTACAAAGGGCATCAGTTTCTTACTGACTGCTATGGTCTTTCACATATTCCCCACTGCACTCGAAATCTCGCTTGTATGCGGCATTCTAACATACCAATACGGCTGGCAATTTGCCCTCATCACCGGCACTACAATGACTGCTTACTCTGTCTTTACCATCATGACCACTTCGTGGAGAACAAAGTTTAGGAAACAGGCCAATGCTGCTGATAACAAGGCAGCTACTGTTGCAGTCGACTCCATGATCAACTATGAAGCTGTCAAGGTATTTCTCCTGAACAAGTTTTGTAGTATTCTCTATTAATGTGTATAGTACTTCAACAATGAAAAGCACGAAGTCAAGCGTTATGACAAGGCCCTTCAGGACTATGAAAAGGCCTCTATCAAGGTCGCCACTTCCCTGGCCTTCCTCAACTCGGGTCAAAACATTATCTTCTCCTCTGCTCTGACTGCCATGATGTATCTCGCTGCCAACGGCGTCGCAACCGGACAACTCACCGTTGGCGACCTTGTCATGGTCAACCAACTCGTCTTCCAACTCTCCGTCCCCCTCAACTTCCTCGGTTCCATGTACCGTGAACTCCGCCAGAGCCTGCTCGACATGGAAACTCTCTTCAACCTGCAAAAGGTCAACGTGACTGTCAAAGACAAGCCCAACGCTCCCCCACTCGTCCTCAAGACGGGCGAAATCAAATTCGAAAATGTCTCCTTTGGCTACCGTCCCGACCGTCCCATCATCAAAAACCTCACTCTGACCATCCCCGCCGGCAAAAAAGTCGCCATCGTCGGTCCCAGCGGCTGCGGAAAATCCACAATCCTCCGCCTGCTCTTCCGCTACTATGATCCACAGGAAGGTCGTATTCTGATTGACGGCCAGGATATCCGCGACGTCAACCTAGAGAGTCTACGCCGCGCAATCGGAGTAGTACCTCAAGACACGCCTCTTTTCAACAACACCATCCAGCACAACATCCACTACGGCAATCTAGACGCCACTCAAGACCAAGTCATCGAAGCAGCGCGACGCGCCCGTATCGACGAGACTATCGCTCGGTTCCCCGATGGCTACAACACCATGGTCGGCGAGCGCGGCATGATGATTAGTGGAGGTGAGAAACAGAGACTCGCCATTGCGCGATTGGTCTTGAAAGATCCGCCGCTTTTGTTTTTCGATGAAGCTGTATGTTGCCCTCTACTTCCCCCCACCCGCCTTCTATGAACTAACAAAATAAAACAATAGACGTCAGCGCTAGATACCCACACCGAGCAAGCACTCCTCTCCCACATCAACTCTCTCGTGAGAGAAAAGAAGCGGACATCAGTGTTTGTGGCGCACCGTCTTCGCACAATCTACGACTCTGATGTTATTATCGTGTTGAGCGAGGGTGGGGTCGCGGAGAGTGGGACGCATCAGCAGCTTATTGATCGGAGTGGGTTGTATAGTGAATTGTGGAGTGCGCAGGAGACTATGTTTGTTGAGGAGGGAGAGGGAGAGAGCGTAGAGGTAGAGGGTGAGGTGAAGAAGTAATGAGTAGAGTGGGAATGCTAAAAAAAAAGGAACATGGACTTTTGTACAAATGAACAGTTTTGAATATGGGTTCACTTAATTTCCTCAGTATTACATTTATAACTGAGATCTCCAAGTCCTTGCACTTCCCCATCGATACAAAGATCTTACTCCATCCCTTTCCTAAGAGTGCCAGAATTCCATAACCCGTACAAGTGCAAAAGCTATCACATCTACACAGCCAACCTCGACCTCCCTTCTACTCCGCCACCTCCGCCGCCAACTTCAAAATCTCTTCAACACTCTTCCTCGCATTCTTCGGATCCTTTGCAACACTCTGCCAAATCTCACCATGCCTCGGTTCCGCCAACGCCGCTTTGGCCAGCGTATCCTGCAATTTCTCCTCGGTACCATGTTGTAGCAAAAACTTGTAATACCACACCCACGCATCGCCGAAATCGCTATCATGAGTGACGGCTTTAACGAACCATGTCGCTGCTTTATCGAGGCGGCGCTCAGCCCAGAAGATGCGGCCGACGACGCAGAAGAGTAAGGCGTCTTTTTCGACTTTCTTGATGGCTTCGAGGGCGCGGGGCTTGCGCTGCGTGCGGGATTCGAGGTGCATGATTTTTTCTGCCCAGAGGAGACCGGATTTGGGGCATTGTTGCAGGGCGGAGGCCATGAGTTGCTGGGCTGCGCTGATGTTGTTTTGGCGGCGCTCAAGGCGCACTTGCTCGAGGAGGATGTGCTCGGATTTGGGGTTTTGCTGGCGACCGCGGTCGAGGGTTGAGCGGGCTTTGACGATGGCGCCTTGTTTGACTTGAAGGCGGGAGAGGAGGATGAAGAGGACAGGGGCTTTGGGGGCGGCTCGGGTGCCGATGTTGAAGGCTTCGTGAGCTTCGGGGAGTTTGGAGAGCTGCTCATAAACTTGGCCCTTAATTGCGTGGAGTTTCCAGCTGCCTGGCCAGTTTTGCAATCCCTGGTTGCAAATGTCGATGGCCATCTCAAAGTTTCCTAGTTGTCGTTCAAGAACCGCGGACTTCATGTAGATGCGGTCTGTAGCTGCAGATTCACGTGCTACTTGCAGGAAGCTACGCGCCTGTTCATAGTTGCCGGCATCCACCTCAAAGTCGACCGCACGTGTGTAAAGCATTTCATTACCGGGGAGCGCCTCAAAACTTCGGCCCAGCACCTTGCGAGCTCCTTCAGGGTCACCTGATTGCCACATTTCTCTAGCATAAAGCAACCAAAGCGATTCTGATGTGGGGCAAGCATTGACTGCCCGTTCAAGTACGCTAAGGAGTGAGTCCATGGTACCGTGGTGCTTCTCTAGGTCGGCAAATGCATGCCAAATGGTTGTGCTGTAGGGAAATACGGCAACAGCGAATCCTAGAATAGCCCTCGCCGTCTCTGGCTTGTTTCGGTTCAAGACGCTTCTCGCATCCTCCAGCCAGATGTCTCGGCGTTCGTCGTCTTCGTCAAGGCCCCATCCAACAGTTGCCTTGATAATAGCAGTTGCTGTGCCCTTGTCGCCTTGCTCTTCGCAGATTTCCGCCTGCGTGATCCACTCCTCTCGCTTAATCATAGCATTCTCTTTGATGAGAGACTTCACAGCTCGAGTCATGATCGTGTCCAGCATTTCCACCTTTCCTAGCTCCTCCTGAAGTCTGCAGGCGTGTATCCAAATGGCCCAACTGGTGGGAATGGCTTTGCGGGCTTTGTTGAGAATCTGCTGTGCAGCCTCTGGTTCTGATACACGCGCATACGAGATCCACAACTCTTCAGACAGCGGAACAGTCTCGGTTGCTTTGGCGAACAAGAGGCGTACAGCGTCAAGCTCCTCCGTATCGTTGATCAGCGTTTTCCACAGTTCTACACTCTGAGGGTTGTGATCCAAAGCCTGCCGAGTAACCTTCTTTCGCGCCGCAGGTGTCTGCTCTAGGTCGATGGCTGCTTGCCACAGCTTCACGGCCTTTGTGTTTTGCTTGATACCATTTGCCGCAATGACCTTTGCGTTGTGCAGGTTGTCACGGTTCAACCGAATTGCTTCCTCCCAGACTACGACAGATCGAGGGCAAAGCTCACAACCTCGGGCAATGACCTTCTTAGCAGTGTGGATCTTTCCAGCCACCTCTTCCAATCGTGCTAGCGCAACATATCCAGGTCCGTTGTGTACGTTGGTCTTGACAGCAGACTCTAAAAGCACACGCGCCCGATTGATGTCCTCGACCGGTACCTCTTCACCCATGGCTTCCTTCTTGCTTAGGGCAGTCATGTATCCCTTGGGGTCTACTGATGTTGCCGTACCAGAAGTTGTCGATGTCTGGGCACCGGGTGCACTGGCTGCTGAGTCAAGTCGTACTGTGAGGGCGGAAAGTTGAGCTGCACCAATACTTGCGAGATTGGTGGTCATGCCGTCGGCGTCTCCCGTGGATATCGATGTATCGAGTTCGCCACTCTTGGATGCGGCAGCCAGAACGCTATCTGGGACTGCATAGGATCTGGCGTTGGCCATGCGGGCTTCACGCGCACGCTTAGCTTTACCCGTCATATCTCCAACCTCGGGCAAGGCTGCCCATTCTTCTTCGGAAACGCCACCGAGGGCACGTTTTAGATCAGCGAATTGGAGTTGGATCTTGGGGTTGTTTCGTTCGTATTCTTCGCGTTCTTTCTGTTCGCGGGCTTCCCTACGGCGGACACAATCGGTATCTGTTCGTGGAAAAAAACACGATGAATACTTCGACAATAAAGATAGAGGGGAAGGGCAGTGGAAAAGAAACGGGATGTACCAACCTTCTGGCTCTGCGACGCTTGTCCATCTTCTCATCAACTTCTTGGTATATGCGATCTGCCTCGTCATCCTCCTTGTCGTAGTTCATACCACTCGAGAAGAGGCCGACTTCGTTATCAGGGTCCTGGAACCGGTCTTCATCTTCGTCCCTCTCTTCGTCCTTCTTCTCAGTAACACCGTACGCAGATGGGGCGGCTTGGCCTAGCGATGCGGCGCGCTTTGCTAGCATCTCCTTCATCTGCTCCTCAGACGGACCCTCACGGGCTGGACCGAGATCGCTTCGGGTTGTGAAACCCGTCGCTCCTCTACCCAATCCAGCCACATAGTTCTCGGGCGCGGGCATCGACAAGAAGTCGCGTCGACTCATGGTGGCGGTATTTATGCAGCTCTCCGAAAGAAATGGTTATTGGGCTCCGGGCTGGATATATGCGCAGAATGCGCCAAAGACCACTGCAGTCTGGCCGTGAAACACCTGGAAGACGTGGAAAGATGGTCGCCGAGCTTTCCGGTACCAGTGCAGCTGTCTGACGCAGAGTTGTGTGTAATTGCTAAGTTTGGTGTTGGAAGCGGCGTTGAGGTGACGCGACGTCGATAATAATTTGAGACTAGGTCGACGCGCATCACGTGAGTGCACCGCTCCAGCCACGCTAGCCCGAAAGGTATGTTTGCGACAGGCTGGTTCTTCACATGCGATCAATTGAAATCAGAAACTAAGATGTATTACAATATCTACCTTCCGAAGCAGATCGTATGAGCTAGAAGAGGGCATCTTTGGTTCCAAAAGTAGTGCATGATCGTAATGCTCATGCTTCATCATATACCAAGTTCCTTTACACGATCTCCACAATATCGTAATGTGCATTCCCATGATGGTCCAACTAAACTTGCGCTCAGTAGTACTTCACACATATTTCTGAAGCGTAGTTTTGCTAATCATGTCCGTCCTCGCTCAAGGAGCAGCAGTTTGAGGTTCCGGCGCTTTCCCGTTGGCAGCGTGGAGGGCATGGCGTGGAGAGATGGGTGGTAGTGGTGGAGCTGGCTCCTCAGCCGCAGCTACTGCATCGCCCCTCAGGGACCGCCCACTACAACGCATCAGTACGCAAGTAGATAGGAAGTGCATTGATCTTGCCTTTTCGTTTTTCTCAGCTTTCCTCCGAACCACTTCTTCAGACTCCGACTTGTGGATGGCCGTTCGGGCTCTGGGGCAGGGGATATATCCGACTGCAATACACTACTCGCCTGGCTGTGCGGGCTGAGCTGGCTAGCCTCTGGTGTGGCGTCATCATCCTCGAGCGGTGGAGCCCACCTTTCGACATCGCCATTGACTACTACGAACCAGGCCAGCTTTTCCCCTGGCGCAACCTTGTCCCGCAGCTCAGTGATGGCGGCGCGCTGGTCGTCGGTTATTTCAGCACCCTGGACTTCTTCTATATCTACCCCAAGCTTAATTTCGTGCACAATGTCACAGACGTATGCGTGGGGCTGGTCTTTGACAGTAAAGTCGTCAGGGTTGTATTGCTCAATGAATTGCAGGTTCGGCAGCTTGGCCATTGTTTCTGGCCATTGATCCTTGAAGTTTTTCGTCATACAAGCAACTGTCGCAGGGGCCATGAGCCACTCCGGGGCGGCATCGTCGAGGTTCTGGAGAATGATGTGTATGCGAATCTGTGCACGCGGCCACCGGAACCCATGTACAAGCCAAGTGGGCATGTCGGGACACTACGCGCAGCCGTGTCGCAACTTGAAAGGCAAACGTGCTGTGGACGAGAGAGCGGGTGTTGAAAAGTGGGTTTGGAAGAAGCGGCAAAATTCGGAGTGTTGATGCAAGTAAGCATGGGCAGACATAGTAGACAAAGCACTCAACAGCCTCTGGCGAACAGGTCGTACATGATTGTTTGCAAGCCAGGGTCAAGTTCCGAGGAGAGGGTTTTGGCGTGGTCTAGGCAAAGTCTGTCGACCGTGGGCGACTTGACTGTACGAATACGCGCGCTAGGAAAAGGAAACAGGCAGCGAATGCGAGATGAGACGGCACAGTGACCTGGCAATAAATCGAACCATGATAAGGGCAATGAGCCCCGATTGGGTTTGCACAGTGTGCCAGTCTGTACATTCACGGTTGCTGTGCCGAGAGGGTTGCGGGGGGAAGTCGGGACTAGCACTGGGATCAGGAGAGCTTGCGACGATCCATTGCAAGCCTCCGTCCAGCCCCGCCCACGCTAATGCAACGTCGCTCCCGATGGTAAGTATACAGACTAGGGACAGATGATCATACAGAACACTGCATGCTCTGTGCATGGCGTCATGGAAACACCAGCCTGAACCATATCCACTCCACACCATCCATCCGGACGTGGCATCATGCCTCTGTACGTCCTCGTCCCCTTTGCGCCCGATTACGCTGGACGTCCTAACAAGCATACAGTCACCTACTGGGCAAGAAGGTATGCGATGCAACTCTTGGTTCGTAGCAACCCAGCCCTAACCCATCCCCTAGTCATGGAACGTCTACAACGCCGACAATGTAGCGCGCGTCAAGGCCGACGAGGCTGCAGCTGCCGCCCGCGAAGCTGCTCATGAGCAGCGCATGCAAGAGCTCGATGCCCAGCGACGCGCTGCCATTCTACGCGGTGAAACACCTCCACCACTTCCCGAGGAAGCCTCACCCAAGCACTCAGATGCGCGGGCTTCGAAGAACAGAGACGAGCGTGGATATGGCCCAAAGAGGAGGAAGCTTGCTGGTGAGGATGACACCGACATGGATATCCGCTTGGCCAAGTCCATCACAGCTCCGCACGACGATGACAAGCTCGATGCTAAGGTCTTGAAACTACGAAGCACGGCGAGCGATGCTCCTCTGCACGACCATGCCGGCCACATCGACTTGTTCCCCGTCGACATGAAGGACGCTCTCAAGCGCGAAAAGAACGCCGAAGTAGAAAAGGAGAAGCGCAAAAAGGAAAGGGCATTGGAAGACCAATACACCATGCGCTTCTCGAATGCTGCTGGAAGAGGAGGAATAGAGCAGCCCTGGTACGCGGCTCAGCAGAAACTGTTGCAGGATGATGGGAAAGACCCAGACAGCGCACGCGATGTAGCAGCATTCGAAGGTTTCGTAAACAAGGATGTCTGGGGCAACGAAGATCCGCGGCGCAAGGAGAGGGAGCAAGCACGTATATCATCCAACGACCCTTTTGCTTTCATGCAACAAGCCCAAGCCCAGCTAAAGAAGGCCAGACGCGACAAAAAGCTATGGGCCGAGGAGCGCGATAGAGAGTTGCGCGAGCTGCGAATGACACAAGAGCAGGAAGAGAGTAGGAGCAGACATCACAAGCGGAAAAGAAAAGACGACAATGATGACAAAACCCGTGATCGCGACTCTGCTTCTTCACGACACAAGTACCACCACAGAAGTCGGAGCCGTAGCCGGGACCGACACCATCATAAATCTTCACATCGCAGTGAGAGGCGACGGAGTCGTAGCAGAAGTGAAGACCGAGACCGGGATCGGGATCGGGATCGGCACAAACATCGCAATCGCCCACGCGAAGGCCGTGAAAAGTCTAGGACAAAGTAATGTTAGAGTACTTGGTTAGAGACCAAGAAGAAGAAATCGTTCAATGATATCGATTAGGCGAGGAGAGGCTGTATCCCAGTCTATGGTATCTGGTTCAAACGAATAGATCAATCTCATCATTATTGTCCCTGTCTTTGGAAAATTCACTTCATTTTTGATATCTCGTCAGCCCTATTCTTTCTTTGTCAAGCATGGTGAAAGTAAGAACCAGATATGCGAATTACAGAGAAGAAAAACTACTCGTTTCAAGTTTAGAACATAGATTTTATAGTTAGATGATGAACATTGATGAAAAATAAATTGATTAGAGTGTAATTTCATCTAGGCTTGTCTAGGATTTAACTGTTTCTGGCTGTACTACGGAAAGTGAAGAAGATATCCTGAAAGTAGGCATGGTGGCTTTGGTAGATAATTTCATGAAACTCGTTTTATAGTAATCCTTTAGTTAACTTCTAGAAATCGAAACCATATAACTAGCAAATTCCAAATTAATTAATAATTGAAACCCCGTCCTCCCCCCCCCCCGAAAAAATTTGATTTTCGATTTGCAGTACCAAAAGAAGGAAAAAAAATCTGAATTGTTGAATCTTTGTGAATTTTCGTTCGAACATTATGGGAAAAGAGCTTATGAACAAGATCACTTACGTCCATTCATTGACATTCATTTTTTTTAGCGATGAAAGGGTTCCAAAAGTCATGGCGGATTTCATAGATACAAGAATGGGTATATTGCATTAAAAAACTACTTCCGAGTATCTGCAGCGTAGAACAAAACTCCCCTTCTCACTGCCATTACCGGCCAGCCCCAACCACCTTCACCTACATCCAATACACAAAAACCGATCTTCAAATCTTATTCTCCGTACCCTTCTCCCTAACCTCCGCATCCCCCACCCCACCAACCCTCTCATCCGCAAAATCCTGCCTCGAACCCTCTGCATGTAAATCAAACAGCGGCTCCATGGGCTCCACATTCCTCCTCAGCACATGTTTCTTAAGATACCAGGGCAACTTCCTCCTATAATACGCTGAAAACTGTCGATTCCCCACATCAAACACCGTATCCAGTTCTTCAAGGGTTAGCGCTTTCGTTTCAGGGAGCAGGAAGTATGCGTAGAAGAAGCCGAAAAAGTTCCAGCCGGCGTACCAGCAAAAGGCGCCGGTGGGGGTGAAGGCGGCTTCGAGGGCGGGCCAGGTGAGCGAGAGGATGAAGTTGAAGCCCCAGCAGGTGGCGGTGGCGAAGGACATGCCGACGTCGCGGAGGTGCAGAGGGAAGGCTTCGGCGGAGTAGGTGAAGGGGACGGGACCTTCGCCGGGGGAGTAGACGGCCATGACTGGGGGGAAGGGTTAGTGGTGCTGCTTGGTAGAGAGTGCGATGTAGAGGGACTGAACTTACAGGTATAAATGGCAGCTGCGATGGATGCGAGACGGCCTTGTGTTGGTGTGCCATCTGGGTTATTAGGAAGGTAAAACGATAAGCCGCACCAGAGCAGACAAATTCCCATTAGTGGGAATGTGGTTAGTAGGAGATTGCGGCGACCAAATGTGTCGATGGTGTAGATGGCGGGGATGGCGAAGAGCCAGTTTGTTATACCCGTGCCCATGGACGTCAGCAGTGCTTCCGATTCACTGAAGCCAGCAGATCGGAAGATGGAAGTACTGTAGTAAGCGATGACCTGAGGAAAACCATTTTAGCAATTCCTTCTGGTGAAAAGTTGGGGGAGTGACGTACGTTTACTCCGCAGAATTGTTGCATGAACATGACGAAGAAAGCGCTCTGAGCAGCACGTCGGTTACGACGAACCAGAAAGAATTCTCGAACTGGGTTCCTGCCCTCACGTTGGGCATTTTCAATCTCGAGGAGCTTGTACGCATAGTACATGTCGCGTGCTGCTTGTATCTTGTTCCAGCGGAGGCGGCAGAGAGACTGGAAGGCTCTGTCGAATTTTCCTTTTTCCATGTACCTTGACGCTGTTAATACTTGTTGTAATCCCATATTCAAAGAGACGATACGTACCAGCGCGGCGATTCTGGACAGAAATAGACTTGGACGCAGACGATCATCGGAGGTATGCTGGTGCTGGCCAACATCCACCTCCATGGCGAATTCGGTCCTCCAATGATAGTTACATTGTGGAACGCAACGGAGACGACAAAACCGAGCATGATTCCAAAAGCAGTCCACATCTGCCACATCATCGTCAAAGCTCCACGGATAGTCTTCGGTGCAGACTCTGCGGCGTAGACGGGAGTGGTTGAAGACTTTGCGCCGACAGCGAAGCCCAGCATGAATCGAGCGGCGAGAAGGTTTGGCCCTTTTTGTGATTGTTAGTGCATGAATCGAACACAGTTGTACATAGATGACTTACAGCTCTCGCAAACCGCCATCCAGATACCGGTAATGAAAGATATGATGCATGAGATGAAAATGGTACCCCGGCGACCAAAGTACTTGTTCAGTGGCGCATTGGACCAGCAGCCGATAGCCGCAGAGCAGAGGTATGGAGCGCCGTTGAGTAAGCCACGGAGCCATACTTGATCTGCAGAGATGTTGAACTCCCGGAAATAGAATTCCTGCAGTATGATCAGCCGAGGAAAGTAGCAACAAGAATGTGAGTGAATTGACGGACCTGAGCGCCGTTCACGGCTGTTTGATCCATTCCTTGCACGATAGCAGAACCAGCACAGAGAATGACCAGGAAGTACAACATGAATGGCTGCGACCATCGATGAGAAGTCTCGCGTCTGAGGATGTCCTTTTCTTCTTCTGAAAGGGAGTTCACGTATTCAAACCCATCCTCGCGCTGGCCCACTCGAGCGATCAGTGCACCCTTGCGGAAGGAATCAAGGTCATCTTGGAGTCCTTTCTCTGTGCACCAGGCTTCGACATCAGCCAGAACCTGTTCCTCACTGAGACCCGCTAAAGGGTTGCGAAGTTTGGCAGCGACAGATGCTTGTCGGTGTTGCGAGCCGGTATGTTCATTATGTTGTGCTGTGTTGAAATCGGACTTGCTGCTGCCCGAAGATGAGACAGTGGGCTCAGTAGCCTCGATATCTGGTTTACGGCGAGACATGGTGATGACTAGATATGAAGGTCGCCTCTAGGTGAATATTTCCCAGTTCAAGGGAAACTCGCCGATTACAAAGTGGATAAGACAAGAAGACACGCAGCAGGCACGAGCGAACCGCGACCGCCCAAGTTATATAGTCATTCTGGGGGCCACAGAGGATACCCGCTTTTCTCTCCATGAAAGAGCGGGTCAGTGTCTGCCCCAGAGATTTGTCCCCATAGTCTCTCCACACCATCCAACATGTTGGCACATGTAACCATACATGGCAACCAGGCAACGGGGTGGCCGTACCAAGACGTGAAGTTGTATTTTCATAGAGCGGTTGTTTCTGGGACTATGTCATAGTGGATACATCGTGCTTGGGAGCTTCTCGGCGGAAGCGAGTTCTGTACTTGGCAGCGGAGCGCACCATTCCTCCCAAGAAGGCACGTGAAGTCTGCCGGTAGGCTGACCGATGGTATTTGGTTGGTTCCAACCAATAGCAGATATAGCGGCAAGCGACTTGAAGAACACTGGTTGTGATAGCCGCTGACGACACACAACGCGGTGGACTTGGCGTTAGGCGGGAGGCGTACACAGTACTTGGCGAAGAGTATCATTACTAGAAAAGGCAATCCGCCTTATCCACTCGGCAGCAAGATCCGCTCTCTAACTCAACGCACTTGAAGCTGCTGTGAGATTCGGTCTTGAGAAGCGTGGGTCCCACGCGTAGTGAACCCTAGAGGTAGTTCGGAACTGTTAGAAGAATGTTAGTGAATCATCTGACCATCGCACAGACGGAGAAAAGAAATGCGCAAAATCTTGGATAGTTTTTCTTAGCTGCATAGCGGAAAAGTTTGATATTTAGAAAAAGTCCATGCTATTGTTATGGGTGAGAAACGATCAACTGCCCCCAAATTTGGGAGGTTTCCTGCCAGTCGTCGTCTATGCATGTATGTATGTGTTCGCACTCAGTCCTTCGAATTTTAGCCGCCGAATAGTGGAGAGCATGGATCTAGCCATCAAAGGGTCCGAAAAGCCTAGAAACTTGTTGAGACCAAGAAAACACTTTTGTTGTTAGTGCGAGGCTTCAGTCCACTTTGGCATTTCCCCATGCGCCCCGCAGTAACAGATCCTCCAGCCCCCTCGCCACGGTCTCATTTGAGACTTTTAGCTTGAGATAGTGCTGGCTGGTTATACGTTCGTCTTCAATCCAGACGTTGGTGCCGTTAGGGTATAGATAGTTGTACCCATTTTCGTTTCCGTATTCGAACCAGTTGCCCAGACCACGACCAGCATATGCCATTGCCAGATGATCCCAAGAATACTGTGAAACATTGGCCCCACCCCACCACTCAAAACTAGTTCTTACTGGGTCACCAGAGGGGCCGCATGTAGTGAGTCGTGCCCCTGTTAGAACTTCTATGCCGACTTCTGCTCCGAGGAAGGTCATAGGTACAACGCTCGGCCATGTGTTAACGACATGGGGTGCTTCTTGAACAGCAAAATTGTACTCTTGATCGAAAGACCGCTCTGCTAGGTATCCACCACCCATGACGACTAACTCCTTTACCTTCGCTTTCACCAGACCGTATCCATCCAAGGGGGAATATTTGTCTGCTGTGGAGTTCAAGAGACCCGATAGAGATCCCATGAATCCAAGGGAGACAATAGTTATGCTGTCATTCTTTGCCTCGCCAAGTGTTTTGCGATACAATTCCACGGGGTCCCAGGTTTTGTTTACCTCAAACCAGGGAACGGAGCCTCCGGACCATTTGGCAGCCACTCTGCTCGCATACTCTTTCCCAAAGGGTTCAGAAGAAGTCACATTGGTATAAGGCCTTCGTAGTCCAATAGGAATTGATGAATACCCGTAGTAGTTAACAATGGCAGATGCAGCGAGCGCCGAGTATGTAGAGTTAACGTTGACGTTTACAGCGAGAAGTTTGGTGTTTGGTAGAGTGGAAGCGAGAAGGAGCGCTGCAGTATCGCTAATGTAGTGTAAGTCAGGGTATTAGCCGTATTTGGCATGTGACCGTACTCAATGGCGTCGAATAGATCAGTGTCTACAATAAATTCCTTTGTCGGTTGAATTGCTGACTCGACAAATGACAGCAACGATAAGGCAGCTATCGCTGATAACCATTTTAAAGAAGCGAACATGGTGGCTAGAAAGTGGACTGGGTGATAGTTCCAGCCCAGATCGAGGATGGAGAGAGAGTGCGAGGATGTACAATATTTCTCTTCGCGAAGACGGGATTTAAGCAAACAGCCTATTCGAAGGCCATGATAAGCCGTGCGTAACATCGAGCATTCGGTCCGTAACACAGCCCCACTATAAAAGTTCAGGGCATGCAACTATTGACTGTAGTGACGATCCCGAGGGCATCAACCGCCTCTGCAATGAGATATGGGCGATAAGGAAGCATTGGTGTTAATGTCAGATGACCACACAATACATTCAGAAATACTGCAAACCCGATGAAAGCATATCTTTTGCTAATGTTCATCATTGAATGCAGTTGGAGGTTGATGTTTCTTTGAACGCAAGATTGCCGTCGACAGTATGTGGGCGAATGACGTGATCGCTTTGGGCAAGCGCCGATTTCGAGGTGACATGGCGTGCTGCAGTCGACGTGTATCTCCGCACGCCGTTCCCGAACCTCACTATACAACAAAGACATAGTTTATGAGTATGAAGAAATCTTCTACTATTTGGTTTGCGATATCGCTACTGGGAGTGTCTGCTTTGCATAGAGATGGCCCAAGCGCTCAAGACGTCATCGACAGGCTTCATCTCGAACCAAATCCAGAAAAGGGCTATTATCGACAGACGTTCGAAGATGCCGGTAACGTCAATAATCGGTCCTACTCTACGGCTATCTATTACCTATTAGAGGGTGAAGTTGGTCCTTCATACTGGCATCGCGTCGTCGACGCTGTCGAGATCTGGCATTATTACGCAGGCGCACCGTTGCAACTGGACCTGTCGTGGAATAATGGGACAGCGACTGAGCATAAACTCTTGGGAGACAATATTTTCGGGAATCAGAGTCCGCAAGTCGTCATCGAGAAAGGGCGCTGGCAAAGAGCTACCAGTTTGAGCACTTGGACGCTTGTTGGGACGACCGTAGCCCCGGGATTCTCAGAGGAGGGCTTTGAATTACCAGGACCAGAATTTGAACCAAATGATAGCAGATAGGGATCGATGAAACTGTTTCTTGATCGACGATGAGTTGAGTTTGGTCAAACTGCACCTCACATCAACACCCAAGGCAAGCTGCCTGTATCCAGACGCGGCACCGCGGTAACTTTAGATCACAATTAAATATCAATGCGCAAAGAATCAATGAACATGCCACAAATTTTCGGTTCATGTTCGAAAAGATTAGTTCCATGGCTTCAGAGCATGTCATAGAATGGAGCGCAGGCCTGTCAAGCCACTAAGCCTCTAACCCATCCGTAGCAGTGGCGCAGCAAGTGCGGTAATCCTACTCGTGTTGCTCTCATTTCCACATATTCGGTACTAATAGGTTTCTTCCAATCAGAACTGTGCGGTATGACATACGCGGTGTCGATTGTCCGTTCGCTTACTTGTCGGACTTCGCTGGCTCGCTTAAAGCACAGCTCTGCTGTCATGGCGCTACAGACCCCGATGCCAATGCCAGGTTCATGAAGGTATGGCCGATTGCAGCAGGACCCTGTATCTCAGCTCATTTTTTTGGAGACAATTACACGGAGTGATAGTGTAGTTGGCGTACTGCGAAGATTGCCGACGCACTTAATCCAGGATTCTAGTATGTGACACAAATCTATTTCTAAATAACGCTTACCATAAACCTAGGATACTTAACCTGGAGACAGCTTTGGTATCGGTGAACCTTCCGAAACTTGTTCGATCAAGTTCTCGGATCCTGCACCAATAAAGAATATATTGTAGAACTAGCGTGATGCACGTAATCGGGGGATATGTAGGTAAGCACTAATTCTCCTTTCCAGTCGTTACTTTTTCTAGTAATGTGGAAGTGAATATGAAGTTTGTGTCAGGTATATTCTATACAGAATAAGAGTGAGGCTTTGATCATATTAGACATGAATAGCCAACAATTACTGACCAAAAGCTTTCTTGAATGTGCTTTGCAGAATATCCAGCCTCAATCGCTGCCAAGTTGGACAAACGCAAATGGGCTACTCTAACTTCGAAAATCAAACATACTAAATGAAGACTTCAGAAACCAAATCACTGAATTTTCAAAGGGATACTTCGTGTTTCAATAAACTTCGTTCGTTCGACTTGTCATTCGCACATGTTTTCTTGGGCTCTCAGGTGCATTTCCTAATACGACTAGTCGAAACATCCGGCCTTCGGACTTCCTCTCGATGAGGCGCAAAGGACCTACATACTCGGTTCCCATGATTTTGAGTGATTGGTTGTAAATCAGCACATCATGAAAACAGTCACATGTTACAACCATGGCTGACATCTCATCTGACATCTCATCAGCCATCTCGCTTCTATTAGTTATACTGAACAACAGTCTTAAACTATTCAAAACTACCGGATTCGGACTCCCAGAGCCGGCTTGTCGGTTTCGGAATCCGTAAATCCTTCTGTGGCTTTGAATAGAGAGGCAGCTTAGTGCTAAACTTGGCTTGAAGGGAAAACAATGAGCGGAAAGTCGGTGTAGATGTTGACTATCCTAGCGACGAAGTAGGCAGCCATTTTCGGGCTGAGTTTTCCACTAGTATGTGTCCTTGGAAAGGTTTCTCACTATTCGACGCCTTCAACTGTTATCGCAACATCAAATTTCCGGTGACTATGGATAGAGCTGACTATCCTCTCGTATTCACCTACTAACATGGAAAAGTGGTGTGTATATCCTGAGTCCGTGAATATTGAAGGCGTTCCAAGAACAAGACCGGGCTTGTGTAGTCGTACGAGAAGGACAACGTGATGCAGAGGATGAAGAATCCTAAGGATTTTCAGTGAATATAAGAAGTCGGAAACACGCTGCTTCTTTACATCAGAGCAGAATCTGAACTGCAAGAGCTACATTGGAAAACCACCTTCTCTTCCTTCTTTCAGTCTTTACAGAGGAACACTCATTACCTTCCATTGTACAGTAGTACAATGAAGTCTATTCACTTCCTTGGGACTGTCCTGCTAGGGCTTTCCCATTCCCTTGCCAACGCAGCAGCTATTCCCAATGAGTTCCCTTCTTTCGCTCCTTTTACGCCCAAGCGTGATGGTCTCGAAGAGCGCCAGTCACCAGCCTCCTGTATCAATGTTGGAAACACTCCAAACACGAGACACTGCTGGGCTCCGGGCTTCACGTCCTCGACTGACATGTACACATCCTGGCCCAATACCGGAGTGGTTCGCTCTTACAACTTGAGGGTTGAGAACACGACTTGCAATCCCGACGGTGCTGGCTCGAGGGTTTGCATGCTCATCAACGGAAGATACCCAGGCCCAACCATCGTCGCTAATTGGGGAGACACCATCAGGGTCACTGTACGCAACCTTTTGCAATCCAACGGCACTTCCTTCCACTGGCACGGCTTCCGCATGCTTAACAAAAACATCCAAGACGGTGTAAACGGTATCACTGAGTGTGCTGTGGCCCCGGGCGACTTCAAGACCTACGAGTTCCAAGCCACCGAGTATGGAACAACTTGGTATCACTCACATTTTTCGCACCAATACGGAGATGGCGTTGTCGGCACGGTCATCGTCAATGGACCAGCAACGGCAAACTACGACGAAGATCTTGGTGTGATGCCAATCACCGATTGGTACTACAAGACAGCATACCAAGCTGCTTCCATCGCCTTCCAGAATGGACAGGCTGGATTGGGTCCGCCAGTCGGAGACAACATCTTGATCAACGGAACAGCTAAGAATGCTGCTGGAGGTGGCTCATGGAACAAGGTCACTATCCAAGCCGGAAAGCGCTATAGGCTCCGACTTGTCAACACTGCAGTGGATACCAACATGTTGGTTAATCTCGATGGCCACCCATTCCAAGTCATCGCAACAGACTTTGTGCCCGTCAACCCATACAACACTACTCATCTCCAGATCGGAATCGGTCAGCGCTACGACGTCGTCTTCACCGCAAACCAAACAGCAGGAAACTACTGGTTCCGTGCTGTGGCTGACGGACTCTGTCAATCACGTGCCGCTCGCGAAGGCCGTGCCATCTTTACCTACCAAGGACAAACTGTGGCTGACCCTACTTCCACCGCCCCTGCTTCCCCATTTACCGCATGCGTCGACCCAGTGACAACCCCCAAGATTGCAAAGGATGTACCCAGCAGCACCTTCGCTGCCCAATCCAAGACTCTACCCGTCGCTTTCGGCCCTGTCGCGGCGAACGGTAATACCGTCCTATGGACTATCAACGGTACCTCGATGATCATCGACCCAGGAAAACCCACAATCAAGTATGTTGCAGAGAACAACAACAGTTTCCCTCAGTCATACAATGTTGTTCAAGTCCCATCCACTTCTGCATCTACATGGACCTACTGGGTGATTCAACAAGCCGTAGGAGCCCCGCCCATTGCTCACCCCATCCATCTCCACGGACATGACAGCTACGTCCTAGGCGCAGGTGATGGTCAGTTCAGTTCCGCCACGCACTTTAGTCAGCTGCGCTTCACCAATCCTCCTCGTCGGGACGTTGTCCAGCTCAAGGGTGGCGGCTGGCTAGTTCTCGCTTACCCTACCGACAACCCAGGAGCTTGGCTGATGCATTGCCACATTGTAAGTCGGACACTTGCTTCCTTCGCTATGAATTCCCATGCTGATATATCCACAGGCTTTCCACGTAGGCATGGGTCTCAGTGTTCAGTTTCTTGAACGTAAGCAGGAGATCAATCTGCCGGCCGCTGGTTCCGAGTGGAACAACAATTGCAACAATTGGGCTGCGTACAAGGCTGGTACTACGGACGTGTGGCCCCAAGATGATTCTGGTCTTAAGAAGCGATGGCCACCTCTTATTGAGGGCCGTTCGACTTTCCGGCTAGACTAGGCGTCCCGTATGCGAAGTTTGGCGACTGTGGCGCGAGCGTGGAGCGTGTCCTAAGGTGTGGCCTTGAGGTTTGGAGTTTCTTTTTCTTCTTCTCTTACGCTTTCTAAGCTTCTTACACTCGCTACCACCTCCTTTGATTTCCATACATTTTTATCTCCTCTCGTCAGATCTTTCTCTTTGAGTTCGCGCACCTTGTCGCGGCTCAAACCTTGTATATATTCGGAGCAGGTACTTTGTTAGTGCTTGTCAGCGCACACATACACAAATCAAGCCTATCATTTCTCGAGACCCTGGTCTGTTTATGTGAACTTGGCTTGCGGGGTTAGGTGTTGGTTGAGATCGTCGGGTACGATGGAGAGAACTCCGCCAAGGTACATGGCGCACAGGCAACCAACCAAGATCTTTGTCGAGAAGGCGAGAGGTCGAGTACGGGACCCTGCCTCACACCATGTTCCTGGATAAATTCTGACACCTGTCACCGGTTGGGTCAGCATCTCTTAGCCCCGGCCACTTTGCGGACCCACTAAACCTTGTATCGAGTGCATCTGCGGTACCGCTGAGGCTCAATGTTGACATCTGACGAATAGCGGATGACATTTGACGGGACAACGGGCTGAAACATGCGGCCCTGGGTTCCGCAGCGGGCCTACTGCAAATTATATTCTAGTCTGTTGAATGAACTACCAAGTCCAGTATACTTATATACCCCGCAGTTCCATGTGCTCACGGAGAGTAACGCAATAGGGAAGACTCCAATATTTCGTCCTGTACTCATAAATGAGCACTGCCTCCTTCTAGCTTCAAACAGTCTTCCTCGATTTCAGTTGCGTTGAGAAAAAATGGCTACTGTAACTTCTCAAGCGCAGCCGACTCACTCGCACACCAGTGTCGCTTCTGATCATATCGACAAGGAACCCAGACTCACGCACGCTCAAACCAATATCACCATTAGTCCAGAACTGTTCGAAAAGCTGTACTTGGCGCCCAAGGTACCTCATGCCAATGAACGCGTCACCCAGTACGCGAATGCTGTTCCTTTAGGTTTCCTAGGGTATGACTTGACAATGCGTGCGCTTTGATGTCGAGTATACTAAGCTTCAATTCTAGTTTCGTAATCTCCACCTTCTCCTTCGCCATGGTTCTCATGGGCTGGGGCGGTGCAAGTGGTCTGCAGTCCATCGCGTAAGCAAATGGCCAGTTCCTGCCCTTTAGTTGCGTGCTAACAATTTCTAGTGGCATCTTCTTCTTCACTGGCCCTGTTCTGCTCACACTATCTTGCATCTTTCTCTGGATTCAAGCCCAATTCTTTCCCATGATGGTCACTGGATTGTTCTCGGTTTTCTGGCTATCATTTGGACTACTGCAACTCCCTTCGGCTGGCATCGCTGCTTCTTACTCAGCTACCGGAAACGCAGCAGAGGGTGCAGCGAGCAAAGAGTTGAATGCTGGCCTTGCGCTTTTTTGTATTGTCTGGGGCTTTGCTATGGCGACTTTCGGAATCTTCACGATTAGGATGAATCTGGTCTTTGTAGGAATCTTTTGGTTGGCAGCGACAGCCACCTGGGTACTGAGTGCAGCATACTGGGAGGTCAGCAAAGCAAACTTTGGTAAGGCAATGAAGTTGCAGAAGGTAAGTTTGAATCTTTTTCGTTGGTTTCTGCATCATTCTAATCGTTCGTAGGCTGGTGGCGCTCTAAACTTCGTAGTGGCGGTATTGGGGTGGTATATGCTCATCGTAATCATGATGGCTGAAATGCGCTGGACCGTCAATCTACCAGTGGGAGATCTCACGCATTACTGGCACAAAACCGATATCGAGATTGCTGCAATGGAAAATGAGAAGAAAGACTAGGTTCAAAGCCAAGTTGGTCGTAGCGGATAGGCCGGATGGGCAGACGAGAGGGGTAGGCGGGGTCCGGATATTTGCACGTGGTTGAAACGTGGGATAGGGTCTGAGCAGATGAACCCTGCGTCTAAATTTCACTTGGAAAAAAACAACAACATGGCAATCATAAAACACCATGTATCAGTACCTAAAATCTATCTATCCGCTTGGCCTAACCAGTCGCTTCTTATTCAGGACTTGGTTACGTTGAATTCTGACAACCCACATACTTTCGCCACCATTCTATTAGCACACCAACACAGACAATCATTGAACTTTTGCGCTTGCGAAAGGACAACAATACCCATAGCGAATCTCCAACAGTTTGGTCTACTTGGCTAACCTTTTCCGATTCCCTAGTCCGTGCACCAATTACACGACGTGATCGACGCCACTACACCTATCGTGCTTAGCTGAAATGAGTGGTAGCGGGGCCCAGCAGCGGGTGGGTGGCGTATCCCCCGGAAAGTTACCCAACTTTTCAACAACTCGATGCAGTAGTGGCGTGTTTAGTGTAGGGCAGAACTGATGAGCATTTCCTGGGATTGCGGCTAGTGTGGGGGATGTTGGAATGGGGTTCTAAGAGAAGATCATATGAAGTCTCATGTTGATCCTTCACACTTGCAATCTTCCTGGTCCTTAAACGTATGATTGATTTCTTTTATTGAGTTCTTCGTGGATTCAGGTCTTCTGTTATCATTTAGCGATTTTTCAATTCGGTTTCAAAATGGCTGAACGAATTGAACACGAGAAACCATCCTCAATACGCATTGAGAATGTACACAACATTAACAACGCAAACACCTCGGACCGTGGCTCGAGTTCTGAAGAGGAAGACGCAAACGAAGAAATCGTCCGACATCTACAAACAACAGGAGAAGATGTAGGTTTTACATGTACGTATTCCCAGCCTTACAGTCATCGAACAACTAATCAACCCCCCAAACCCAGTCAACACCCTCATGGCCGCCATCTCAATGGCAATGTGCTACAACGCCTACCTCTTCACCCTCCTCATCCCCCCTGCCATTCTCACCTACATCAACACCGACCTAGGCCCCGACCCATGCTACACCTGGATAACAATATCCTGGAACCTCGGAGGCGCCATGTTCGTCACAGTTGGCGGCCGCCTCTCCGACATCTTCGGGCGCCGCTACTTCTTCATCGCCGGCGCCATCATCCTCATTATCGGCAGTATCGTCAGTGCCACGGGCCAAAGCATCAACCAGATGATTGCTGGGGGCGCGCTGTTTGGCTGCGGCTCAGGGTTTCTAGAGATGGCGTTTGGAGCGGTGCAGGAGATTGTGCCGAGTGCGTATCGGCATGTTACGATTGGGCTGTTTGATGCTGCGTCGATTGTGGCGCAGGTTATGCCGTTGGTGAGTTGGGTTATTATTAAAGAGACGGGGAATTGGCGGATTTGCTATTATGTTATGATTGCTTTCCAGGTTGTTAATCTTGGTCTGCTGGTTTTGTTCTATAACCCGCCGTCTTGGGAGCAGAAGAAGAATGAGCACGGTAAGTCGGCCGGACAGCTTCTCAGGGAGTTTGACTGGTTGGGCTTGTTTCTGTTCCTCGCTGGATGTACTCTGTTTATTGTTGGAGTGAGTTGGGGTGGTTCAATGGCTCCATGGGTGTCCGCAACTGTGCTCGCTCCTATTATCATTGGCCTACTCACGTTGATCGGATTGGGATTCTACGAGGCCTACTATACCCTTTCCGCGCCTCTATTCCCACCTCGCCTGTTCCGGGCTTTGAGACATTTCACAGTTCCCATGCTGGTTATGGCCATTGGTGGGATGCAGTATTATTCGAACGCGACGCTGTGGCCCCGTCTCTCGCAGCTCATTTACGCAACTGATGAGATATCAAAAGGCTTATACGCCGAAGTCCTCCCACTAGGCACTATCATTGGAGGTATCATTGTGGCTTTCAGCAAACTCATCGGTCATCAACGTTGGGTCATCATGTTTGCTGTCGCTTTGCAAACCGCTTGCGTTGGCGCCATGTCAACCTCCACGATGGAAAACCCCGTAAAATCGATCGTTCTTACTGTCATAATCTCAACATGCACGTCGGTCAACTTGCTTAATGGCATGGTTCTGGTCGGATTTGGAATAATTTATCAAGAAGACATAGGTACTGCAGCTGGCCTGGCGGGTACTTCGCGCCTCCTTGCTGGTGCAGTTGCGACAGCCATCTTCGGAAACGTTACCAACAACAAATATGGAGACCTGCTACCTGAGTGTGTCAGGTCTAATCTAGCTCCTTTTGACCTCCCTCCTGCCATCGTTACTAGGCTCATCGCAGCTGCGAGAGCAAATAACGCTGCTACATATGCGGCGATTCCAGGTATCACACCTGACGTTCAGGCTGCCGCTAGCCTGGGCAACAAGCAAGCCTATCTCGAGGGGGCACATCTTTCCTATCTAGTTGCGCTGGCTTTCGGGCTTTTGGGCGTTATAGCAGCTTTCTTCATCCCGAGTGTGGACAGGAGAAAGTACACAAGCAAGACCGTCGCAGTCCAGAAATCGGATCGGAAAGCACTGCAGGAAAAGACGTTAATAAAAGCTACGGTACCTTAGATATTTGAAGTGCCAATTCATCGATACATTACCAGAGCTTTACATGTGTGTCTTCTTTGCGTCCAGGCCAAGGTATGGACATTAGATATAGCCTTCAAATGCAACTATCACCTGTCATCAATGGCTGAATTTTGGTTTAAATACGAGAAAGTATCTCCAAATTCTTGCGATGATGCGTTTACGTCTTGATAATATGATGCATTGAAATCTGTTAACATAGAACAAACTCTTGCTGGGCAACATCTTCATCAGATAGTATTTCCCCGTCCATGAGTCCATGGACATAACATTCCCCTACAAATTGAAAACGATTATCGCCAACTGGCCGTAAAAGTATCGGGATTTGCGATCCTAACAAGATAGCAACAACATCTCCAGCGTGGATCATTATTGGAGCCAGACCCAGATATCCGGTTTTCGTTGTGATGAGAATTCTTTTCGTCAAACAAAACCCAGCTTCAATCACAGCTTCTGAAATCTTTGAAATATCACTATTCCTCTTGACGGACTGTGGGAAGAGACTTTGAAAACTTTGGCCTCCTATGGTGAAATTTTTGTTGTTCTCTCTGAACTTATGGAAAAACTTATGGTATCTCGACTGCAAGATTTTTAGCCACTCCTGGTCAGCGAGGGGGTCGTTCGAAGCCGGATACTCGTCGCTATTCTGCATCCATGGTATCTCAAAGAGTAGTTCTTCCGTCACATCAGGACATTCCAAAAGCATAGTTTGGTGTATCGCTTGACGTACTAGGGTACCGTATCTATTGGAGTCGGTAATCGATCGAGTGAAGTGTCCGATTTGGGAAGTCTCTGTCACAACTTTATCCACTACATCCACATAGAATCCATTGCAAATGAGGAGGCTTTCACTCTCCTCCCTATCCTCGAATCGAAATTTGGCAGGTATGTCTCCGCTCGCTTTAAAAGATCGATAGCAGCGAACGTGTCTAAGCAAAAACGGCCGTCTCCAGTCAAGCACCCATGATGGCCACCCCTTGATTTCCGGAATGCCTCCAAAACGGATATAATCCAAACTGCCAGATTTTCTGACAACAGATTTTGTTAAATCTGTAAAGACCTGCTGCTCTGAAAGGGAGTAATCCGGAATGATATCCGCAGAGATAGCAGGATCTACCAAGCCGAGTATGCTATACACTTTGTCTTTGTCGATAATAGCCTTTGAATCGCGTGTCAGGCTTGACAAAGTGCCAACACCTATTCCAACATCTGGTTTGAAGGCGAGGATTAATAGACAATACAATCGATTAACCAAAGCCTGTGTATCTTGCCACAAGTCATCATCGGGCTGGTAATCCAACACATCTGTAGTTTATAAAAGGTTCTGGCAGCAGAGAACGCCGAGGCCTATCATCCTTCTTGTGAGCTTGAATTTACCACATAATAGCAAGGTCGAGTTGTGATTCATGGCGAGCTCTTGGATTATCCAACATCGGGCCCAATAAGTCTTTCTTGCGAAGGCGACAAGTGCATACCGTGAGCTAGACAGCAAGTACCACCTGGGCTGTAGCATCTCTTTCCGGCAAACAAAACGCATGATCTCAACTGCAAGGCTGTCTGTTTCCTCTTCTTGGCCTAACCAGACAACCACAGCCCTAGCTCGACCGTAGATATCTTTCATACGTTTGACCTGCTTGTTCTTTTCTTTTTCGTCTTGCTGGTTGATGCATAACGAATCCACCCAATAACACATACCCAAACGTGTCTCTGGCAGACCACGCAAAGCTCTTAGCGCGTTCTCGAGATTGGTTGGAACATCGATGTCGTTTCCATTTACGCAAATCCGTCTTTTGTTGTCTCCATCACCCCACGTATAGGACAAAGCCTCGAAGTCACCCCAAGTGTAACGGAAGCCGCTGGTATGCTTGTGATTTCGGGTTGTACCAAGGTTTTTAGCCTCGTGAGTTATTGTTTGCTCCAGCGTCGAATCTCGTAGATCTACGCACTCGGTAAACACATCCCATACTACCGGGCCGGCTTGAGTTTGCAGGTTCTCTTGGAGGGGTTGAAAGAGAGGACAGTATTCCAGCGGCACGTGTTCAATAGAGCATTCTAAAGGATCCTCGGCTAGGACAGGGCTGGATACATTAAGGAACCTCAGGACTCGGATTTCGTTCTTCCTGTCGTCAAGAGGCATGTAATGCATTACGAATAATAAGAGAATCCTTTATAAAAGATGGAACATCCCCAGGTTTTTAGATATGAGAATAGATTTCAGGAAGGGTCAGTTGCGAAAGGTGTATGGTATGCATGCGAACAGCCTGAAGAATTTGAATTGTATGTCGAATGGTGTACATATATCGTAGTCAGTTCGACTCTTCGGACGCTCAGGAGCTTGTTTTTCGCCACTGGATTGACCGGTTTTGAGATAACGTCGATGAGGTGGCGAGGCTGTTCTGAATGCCTTGACACCGCCTTGTATGTGGCAGGTGGGGATAACAACGAACCAATAATAGGTTGACACACTTAGCAATCCTGAGTATCCTCGTCACGTTTCCCCCTCACCGGCGGCCCATAATAATGGATGTTGGTGTCTGCCTTGTTCATATAGCCTTTTTATACCACGTGACAGGCGTCATGGTTTTGAGCAGGGCAAGTCGTACGTGATGCTGAAGATTGAGTGGCATATCGTAACTAAGCGTTGACAATTCCCTGATGTGGAAGAGAAACCTAATCGTACAGCGACAGCAATGAGTTCTATGGTGATTGAAGATATTGGGGACTTTGGGTGAAGGTACTATCTTGCCTTTGAGCCGTACCCATTGATTATTGGTAATAATACTAACTTGACATAGGATCGATGGCTGATACGCTCCTGTGTAATATATATTGTTGGACCTAGAAATAGCATTCCAAATGACCCAAAAAACACTTCGGTCGGTCTTCGGTAGCAGTACAGATAGTGGTGTAAGTATGCCCCGCGCGTTCGTGAGTAGACCCACATCCCCGCCTTCACGACAATGTGGTAAGCTCGCCGTCCCCACCACTGCACGCTGCGTTCAGGACATTGTATTCTATACTTATCTCGATTTTATAAACTCTTTGAGCTTGATTTTAAGTTGAGCACACACGAAACCCTAGTGACTAGGCTCCTGGGTCAAACGTGCCTCATAGTATAGCCCAGCAAGAGGGCGGAAGAAGCGAAGCTAAAGTATGCTGATGATGAAACTGAGAGAAGCGCTAAGGCAGAGATACATGTTGGTGTGATTGCTTTGCATACGGCTTTTCTTTAAACTACTTAGGACTCGAGCGTATATGTCGTCAAGCTGGGGTCTGGTGCGCATAGACCCTTTGACTGCGTTGTGAAGTGCGCATTTGGGCAGATATTTATCAAGAGCAAGATATCTACCGTACTTCCCATCCTGATATTATCAGTGCCTTGGGAGATCTCGCTAATGTATGCAATTGAAACGAATTTGCCCAAGGATGCAACAAGAGGGCTCGGAACAACTTGAGAGAGTAGCAGTTTTTGATTCTATTCTGTTACATCTTTAATTCTTCTTTTTAGTTGATGCGCAGACCATAGTTCGGAAATCTAGTAGAAATGCTGGTGCTTGAAGCGTAATGTTGCTAGTGGTGCCAGGAAATCCATTGAATAATTCATGTTAGTAAATGTTAAATTCTTTCCTTCTCATTGTCGGATATCGCCAATACAAAACGCCTTGAAATGCCGAAATGACCAAAACGCCGCCCTTTGGAAATCCACTGTGTCCCTTACAAAGCCTCGAGCTCAAAGTCGTCCAGCTTGTCGCGGTATTTCATAATGTTTCGCTTAATCTTGGAAGAGTCTACCCAGGTCACAAAGTCCTCCATGTTCCTGGTGACGAGGTAGGCGGGATCCGTGATGACATCTGTTCCCACGCGGACGTGACCTTGCTCAATGAGCGTAGTAGCGGCTTGAATATGATCAGCCATGCGCAGGCGCGTCATGACAACAGGCAGCCTCCTCCGTGCAAAAGCAGAGACGGTGACCTTGTGCTCGATGTCACTCAGCTTTCCCCTGCCTCCACCACCGGTACCAAGGATGCCCATGTCCCATAGCTTTTCTAGCATAAGGTCTTCGTGTTTCCGTCGGAAGGGATCTGAAGGGTCGAGGGCGGCAATCTTATGGGCGAGCTGTCGCAATGAACCAGCGAGCTGGTTGTACTTTCGGTAGTCATCTCGGCCTTGGATGGCATAGCGTCGCATTACCGCTGCTTCTCGGTGACTGACACGAAATTATTATCACTCATAATGTATGAATAATCCATTGCACTTACTCATTGTCGCTCTTGTAGGTGTTGAAGTCGACCTAACAGCATAGAATTAGCATTTGAAGTGTTCTGTCGCGTGGTGGATTTCGGCCCAGCAGGCGCATACCTTCTTCAAGAGCTTCTGCTCATGATGCTTCAGTTTGCGCACCATTGCGACGACGGGCGACTGGGTGCGTGTGGGAGTTTATGGGTTGTGGATGTGAAGACGGCGTTCCTTGGAAAATGTTGCGCGGAGGACGGAGATCCAAAGATTTGTTTGACAGGGATTCTGCGGGCACTAGTCGTTAGCGTGGCTGTAGCTGCCCCTCCCTCCAATGACGGAGGGGTCCATCCAAATTTCCTTCCACCGCGCCGTTTGGAGTCAGACAGTTCCTTATTATCATCTAAAATATTGAAACATTATTTCACCATGTCGAAGGTTCACATGCTCGATTATGTTGCTGGCAACGTCCGATCCCTCGTCAATGCCATTGAAAAAGTTGGCTACACGGTAGAATGGGTCAAGTCACCTGCTCAAGTTGCCGAGGCAGAGGTACTACTGCTCCACGACCAAGAAGTGTACAGCAATTGGCAAGTGCTGATACAGCATCACCCATAGAAACTTATCATCCCTGGTGTTGGACACTTTGGCCACTGTCTATCTCAGTTAGAAAAGGCCGGTTACACCGAGCCGATTCGCGAACACATCAAGGCTGGGAAGCCTTTTATGGGAATATGCGTCGGCCTACAAGCGCTATTTGAAGGATCCGAAGAGGATGCACAAGTCAAGGGATTGGGTGTGATACCAGCGTGCTTGCGTAGATTTCAAGACACAGACAAGAGTGTACCTCACATCGGATGGAACAGCGCAAACACATCACGGCCTGGCGAGGTGACAGATGAGTCATTATACGGGCTCCGACCGACATCCAAATACTACTATGTTCACTCCTACGCTGTACCTTACGAGGAGGGCAAGTTGGAGAAGGAAGGATGGACAGTCGCAACCGCGCGGTATGGTGACGAGGAGTTCGTGGGCGCAGTGGCAAAGGACAACATCTTCGTGACACAGTTCCACCCCGAAAAGAGTGGTGCTGCAGGTCTCCGCGTTCTCAAGGCTTTCTTGGAAGGAAAGAAGACAGAGAAGCTCTCCGAGAAGCCATCGGCAGTCGACACAAAAGAAGGCCTTACAAGACGAGTCATTGCATGCCTCGACGTACGGACCAACGACCAGGGTGACCTCGTCGTGACAAAAGGCGATCAGTACGATGTGCGTGAAAAGTCGGGTGCTGGAAACGAAGTGCGAAACCTAGGCAAGCCCGTCGAGATGGCCAAGAAGTACTACGAGCAAGGCGCTGATGAAGTTACCTTCCTAAACATCACTTCCTTCCGCAACTGCCCTGTCGCCGATACACCGATGCTCGAGATCCTGCGTCGCACAAGCGAGACAGTCTTCGTCCCTCTCACAATAGGCGGAGGCATCCGCGACACCGTTGACACCGACGGCACCAAGATTTCCGCTCTGGACATCGCCACCATGTACTTCAAGTCTGGTGCGGACAAGGTAAGCATCGGCTCGGACGCCGTAACCGCAGCCGAAGAGTACTACGCGCGAGGCAGCAAGCTCTCGGGTACCACGGCCATCGAAACCATTTCGTCGGCCTACGGCAACCAAGCCGTCGTCGTCAGCGTAGACCCTAAACGTATATACGTCTCCTCACCTGACGCAACTCCCCACCACACCATCAAGACGGCTATTCCTGGCCCCAACGGCGAGGAATACTGCTGGTACCAGTGCACCATCAAGGGCGGACGTGAAGGTCGAGACTTTGACGTTCGGCAGCTTGTTCAAGCCGTTGAGGCTATGGGCACAGGCGAGATTCTACTTAACTGCATAGATAAAGATGGCAGCAATAGCGGGTTCGACACTGAACTCATCAACGATGTCAAGAGCGCTATCAAGATTCCTGTCATTGCGAGTAGTGGAGCGGGTAACCCGGGTCATTTTGAAGAGGTGTTTGCGAAGACGAAGACGGATGCTGCGTTGGGTGCTGGAATGGTAAGTCACTAGAACCAAAAGCGTATAATGGATGTGTTTGTTAATCCTTTTTGCAGTTCCACAGAGGCGAGTACACGGTTAAGCAGGTCAAGGATTACTTGCAGGAAAAGGGGCAGATTGTTAGGCCGTTTGAGGCGGATATATAGATGTACGGGTTTTTTTGTGTAGGAGATGAGTAGATATTCTGAATGATGATAGACTCCGATAAAATTGTAGGACAGAATGTGAAATCTTGACCAAATATGCAGATTGTTATATCTTGTACACCACGTACTCGTACATGAACTCTTCCCAGTTTTTCTTCTCAACTTGTATAACCAGCTTCTTTTTCCCATCAGTTCAAAACAACCATGTTATTTCGAATGCCAGTGGGAATAAACAAGCATTCAAAGAGTGAAAGAAGAGAAAGGGTGAAATAAGTAAGAAGAGGGGGGGGAGGGGGGGGGAATATATATATATGCAAATCAACATCCCTTTTCCATTTCGACCAAGAACAAAATGTATAGTGAAGATGACAACAAATGCAGCACAGCACTACTATGCTTTCCAACCCAAAAGGTCCAAGAGCAGCTCCTCCGAAAAAATCTACTGTTTACTTTTCTTTCTCTTCTTTTTTTTGTCAAGATTACGCATATTCTTCTACTTCCTCCTCTTCATAACCTTTGTGCACATTTCCACAAGACCAGTTTTGGCTTCCGAGTCCGGGAAGAAGGAAATAGCATCGATGGCTTTATCGACGTATTCCTGGGCGAGGGCACGGGTTTGCTCGAGGCCTGAGGATTGGGCGACGATTTGGCGGGCCTTGTGGTTGTGATGTTAGCAATAAATTTCTCGAAACTGGGGTACATAGTTTTC